GGTAAGAGGCCGGAGTGACTAACGGGGTTGATGAAGCGGGAGACGGGAGTATGGAGGTGAGTGTAGTGTGAATGTGATCGAGAAGCAAAGGGATCGACCGGGGATGTGATGCAGCAGAGTAAAGACGAGGAGAGTCATGCGTATCGTATATCTTTATAGTGTCGCATACACAAAATAATCTGAGCTTTTGTAAATCATTGTCATACAGCAGTCTTAATAAGTGCTGTAAAGTCTGCACTACAACTCTTCAACATTTACTAGAGTTGACTACCAGTATCATAATTATTTAAACAAACCATATTTTACTCTTCGTACCCTGATACCATCCATAGCGTACCATAATCCTAAAATGTACCATAATTTTTGAAAGAACAAAAAATGTACCATAATTTTTAAATTATAAATTTTCATAATAATGAAAATACGAATCGTATGAATATAGTCGCATTCTTTAGTTTATTTCGCTTTTCTCAGTCTATCTTGAACTTGTTTCACTTTTTGTCTGGTCAAAACCATCGCTTCTGACCAGCTGGCTTGATTAGCATCCGAATGTGTTACAATGAGTTACAATTGTTGATCCATGACTGATGTTATTTAATTCTGTTTGGGCGTTCCCTTTCCAGTTTAACCCACGCATTAAGTGAAGCAGGGAGCGAGCTCCCGTATCAACGAGTCAGTGGTTCGGGGGGGGGGGATTGTGCCCTTAGATTAGTGTTGTGAGCCAGAGCCCTGTCCCTTTCGAAAACCGTCCCACGCACTACGTGAAATCAGAAGCGAAAACTCCCGTATCAACGTGCCAATGGTCGAGTTAAAGAGAGGGGTGAGCGTCCTGGTGATGATGGTACCCGAGAACTTCGACACCGTCCCCCCAATCCGTTTCAAAGCACTAAATGACCAAGGAGCGGACTGCCGTATCAACTGGTCAGTGAAATTGTTAGAGGGGAGTGATCGTGCTTGTCTCTGGATTCTGACTATCGACCTCCCTAGAATCAGCTCCACGTACCAAGTGAACCAGGGAATGCTACCGTAACAACTGGCCAGTGTTTGAGATCTTGGGGGGAGGATTATCCGGAATCCTGACCCGGGTTATCGTAAAGTGTGTGCGATAACTTCACGTACCATAGGACAGTGTAGGGTTCCCAACCGTACTTATTTATGAAAAATGCATTTTACAAATCAGTTTTAGTGGTTTTAGAAACAAATTACAACTTTCGAGCGTGAAAAGAATCATGCAAACTTCTGTTAATTTTAATCAAATTGACTGTCATGAATTTTATAAACACTTTCTAAAGAATGAAACATACTGTTTAGTGAAGTAGGGAAAATTGATAAATATAAGTTTTAAAACTTAAATTTTATTATATTTATTTAGAGCACTTTTTTGTTTTTGTGATTCTTTTGTTGCTTTTCTTTACATGTAATTTTATAGTTTTTTCACTATATGTAATCATAATGTTTTTATATATTTGATACCAAACACAATTTTTTCTTTTGTAAGATTCTTTTTTTAATCTTTCAGCAAGAGTATCAGTAGCTTCATTAGGAAATAAAGCTTTAATCCCAGAAGCTATATATATCGTCTATATAGTCTATATCGTCAGATGTGAATCTCATTTTCAAACTGAACTTTCAGGACTGTCCTATAAATTATATTAACTTAACCTCAATATCTTAACGAACAAGCGGACCAAGTATTTTTAACAAATAACGCACATGCACTCTATTACCCAATTACATTTTACGATTTGAAAATGTACCTCCAACTTCAAAATTCATTTTTCTTATTTATTTTAGATAGTAATTAATGATAAGAATGTTCACCAAAAGCAATATATTAATTTTATGTTGTCAAAAATCATACTTGTTCTTTTACCTATTATAATATTTTTCTGTAAATAGTAAATAAACATTAATTGTAGATTTAAAGGATTTTATATACATGGTTCTATATTCTTTTCAGTTTTTCAGAGTTTTAAAATGATTATTATGGTTTTTACACAATTTATCCTTTCACTCATTTATTAATCCTTAAAAAATTTGCCATTTCTTTTAATTTTTAATATAAACATCTTTAAAAAATTTTAATTTTTGAGAATAATATATTTTTTTTAAAAAAACCTGTTTTGGTGACCTACTTAGGTAGGAGCATAGACAACCGATCAATTGTTTATAACAATTGTTCATTTTCATGAGACAAAAGGTTAGAAAACATGGATAAATTCAATGTTGAGAGACAAGAAAATTTTGTTTTAATCACGAATTATACGGCCATCTAATTGGCAAAGGTAAAAATGCTATCGAAAAGTTTTTAGGAGGGAGCAAAGTCGTATGACGATTTATTTTTTTTTTATTTATAACATTCACACATTTTTATGAGACCGGGGTTAACAAAACTTTCATAATTTCAATTCTTTAAAAACAGGAAATTTTTTACAGTAGTGGAATTGCTCAGGCAGTTATATGGTAAGTAGGAGAGGGCAACAGAAAAGTTTTCAAATGGGAGCAAAGTTGTCCGACAATTTGTTTCTAAAAATTGAACATTTTGATGTGACTGAGACTTAGAAAACTAGGATAATTTCAATTTTTTGGAAACATGAAATGAGACTGAGGTTAAAAAAATTAGGATATTTTCAATTTTTTGGAAACAGGAAATTTTTTTCAGGCCCCGAATTGCTAAAGCGTTTATTTGGCACTCTCCTAAGTAGGAGAGTGCAAAAGAAAAGTTTTTGAATGGGAACAAAGTTGTCCAACAATTTGTTTCTAAAAATTGAACATTTTGATGAAACTGAGGTTAAAAAAATTAGATAATTTTAATTTGTTGGAAGCAGGAATTTTTTTTCAGGCCCCAAATTGCTCAAGCGTTTATTTGGCAAGTAGGAGAGTGCAAAAGAAAAGTTTTTGAAAGGGAGCAAAGTTGTCCGACAATTTGTTTCTAAAAATTGAACATTTTCATGAGACTAGGAGGGAGTAGTCATCCGGCTGTTTGTTACAGAAATTCTAATTTCATTGAGCTATCAAACTAAAAATCACAAAAATTCTATCTTCTCACGAACAGGAATTTTTTTTAAACAACTTGTTTTGTAGTTTAGATCTCTTAAGAATGTCCTACTTACATCTCATGTTTTTTTCTTTTTAATAATCTCAAATTAAAGCTTCGGATTTCCCCAAAAAGAAGATATAAGTCGGAAAATGGGCCGAAAAAATTTGCCAAAGATATAGTGTAATAAGTAAAATTTGTCTGTCCGCTCGCGCACTCCAGCGCGATGAACAGTGTAATTTTTTTACAATTTACTATGAAAAATTGTCTAGAAACTAAAAATTTTATCGGATATTAATGTTCTTGGTCTAAAATTACTAAGAGATCCATCAAAGTCGATTTTTGAATTTTTAATTGATTATTTTTTTCCTGTTACTCAAAAAGTTGACAAATTACAATATTTTTAGAAAAAATCATGTTTATATTTTTATTTTTACATTTCACATGACCGAAATCAATTTAAATTCGTCAAGTATCACCACCGGACAATTAATAATGCATAATACAATTTATTTAAATTGTTGTTGTTGTTTTCGTTATAAAAATTTTAACTAAGAAATTGTTATATCTCTTAATGAAAAAAGTTTGGAAAATTTTTTATTTTTTATTACTTGGTTTTGATGTAATTTTCATTTTTTGATATTTGTTGGCATTTTTGTGGTAGATCGCTCAGGTTGAGTGTCCAACGACGACGATGATATTCTCTTTACATCTATTAGAAATATTATTTAAGTAGTAAAATTGTTTTTTAATACCCAAAAAGCACGTGATATTAATGTTATGTTACTTTGTAATATTAAAGATATTACTGTCAACATTATATTGACGTTAAAGTAATGTTACATGTTAATCGAGAGGTATTGTTAATATATTTGCATTTAATAATTTTCATCTTTTTACCTGCTCGATGATCAATCTTTCTTTCTGTACCACTTGTTAGTGATGATGACGTTGATGCGGTCGGTGCTGAAAATGTCGCCAATGAGGTTAATCCTTCAACTGTTGTCAATACCGAAGATCGTTCGGGTTTCATGAGAAATTCTGGTTTAAATAATATTGCTGCAACTTATTATTATTATTATCTTTTTAAGATTTGAATACTTATGAGAACATTTGTTCCTCGTTTCAATAACGAAGAAAAAATAAAACATTTGTGAAATTTACAATTCTGTTGTTAGAGATAAATTTACATTTTTTTATTGGAACATTCTTCCGTAGTACAGTTTTTTTCACCACTTCAGGAAACATATAGGTGCTAAAAAAAGATAACCTACTTGCCATATGAACGCCTGAGCAATTCGGGGCCTGAAAAAATGTCATGTTTCCAAAAAATTAAAATTATCCTAGTTTTTTAACTTCAATCTCATCAAAATGTTCAATTTTTAGAAACAAATTGTGGGACATCTTTGCTCCCTTTCCAAATCTTTTCGTTTGCACTCTCTTTACTTGCCATATGATAGCCTACATATATGAACGCCTGAGCAATTTAGGGGCCTGAAAAAAATTTCCTGTTTCCACAAAATTGAAATTATCCTAGTTTTTTTAACCTCAGTCTCATCAAAATGTTCAATTTTTAGAAACAAATTGTCGGGGCCTGAAAAAAAATTCCTGCTTCCACAAAATATTCTTTAAACTTTTTTAATTTTGTCAATAAACGGTCAAACATTTTTAAATTCAAAAAATTCCTTTTACAATGAAACTAATTATTTTAACCATGTAAAGGACTTGATTTAAAAGGAAATTCGCCATAAAAACAATTTTCTCACTTGGTTTTTTGATGATTGTCTTTGCATTGTTGGAAAACTCATTTCAACTAGAAAACTGCTTGCTCGACGGAAATACTCAGAACTTGTTACAACGCCCGTGAGTTGAAACATTTACTTCTTCATTCACCAGAGGCAGCACCAATCTACTAACAATTTCTAGGCGACATTACCAATCGAGTATGTTTCTCTTCATGGTTTCAGGTATAGTACAGTGATATCAAAATAGTCAACAGCCGATGAGAATAACTCAAAGTTTATATTTACATTTTTAAACAACTAATACATTTTTAAGCAGTTTTATCAGGAGAGAATTGAATTTTATAAATCACCTAACTGATGATTTCTTCTGTTACTGATAAATGAGTGTCTAAAAAATAATCAAACTTTTTCCTTTATATGTAAAATTTGACAGCTATATATTTTTATTCTGAAACCGAAATGGAAAATGAATGTAAAATTACTGTGAAGTGGAGTGGAAAAGAATTTTCCATTAATATTTTTGAAACTGACACAGTATTAACATTAAAGGAACGTATTTACGATGAAACTGGTGTCCGTCCAGAAAGACAAAAGCTTCTCAATCTTAAATTTAAAGGTTAAGCATAATTTGTTAATCGTTTCATAAATAATTTTCTAAATTAATTTTACTGTTTTGAAACAAATTTTAAGGATTGAATTATTTTCTCTATAAATACATTTTTCTTTTTAATATTCACATATTTACGTGAATTTGCATTTTTACCTAAATAACAAAATCTATATTAATAATCGTTGTATTTCCTGTAATCTGTTTGTTGCTTCAGTTGTTGTTTGCTTTTTTGTTTCCCAACTTTTTTAATAATTTTTCTTTTCAAATATTTTCAATTTAAAAATTAATGTAATGAAAATCATCAAATTGTTGCAAAAAAATTTGATAATAATAGAATTCCTTAGAAGAATTTGATTATTTAGGAAAATAATTGAATTCTAACCAAGAATTTTGTTAAAATTTTTGAAAATTCTTTTTAAAGAATTTTTTTGAATTTTTGTTAAAGTAATGAAGTTTTTTTAACAATTTTAATTAAAAATTTTGAAAATAATTTAATTTTATGAACAATTCCTTTCAAGTTTTAAAAATAATCTTGTTTTAAAAAAAATTGAAATTAAACATTTAATTATTGAATTTTATTAAAATCTTAGAAAGTAAATTTTTTTTAAAATAATAAAATTATTCGAAGGATTTATTAAAATTTCAGAAAATAATTGTATTCGTTCGTGAAATTTTATTAAAATTTTGTTTAAAAATAATTGAATTTTTGCAAAAAATTTTACTATTTATAAAAATAATTGAATTCTTACGAAGAATGTTATTATTTATGAAAATAATTGGATTCTTGTGAAGAAGTTTATTAAAATTTTTGAAATAAACAAGAATAATTAATTAGTAGATTAGGTATAGTTAATAATTGTATTTTTTAAAAATTAGAATCTGAAATTATTCAAAAATTCATATTTGAAAATAAAAAATTTTGTAATTTCCATAATAATAATAAATTCAATATCACGTTCCGCGCGTAACATTTGCTAGTGATACTAATAATGTATGTATTTTAAAAACGCCAATAAAGCTTTATTACAATTTTTGTTTTTTTTTTGTAAGTTTTGAGAATTTGTTTTGATGTTATTTGAATTCAAAAATACTATAATACAAATAATAATTAAAGACTATTAATATTCAATTCGTTTTGAAAAATACAATTTATCAAAGTTATGCATTACAATTCAGTATAAATTTTCATCAACGCTTGATAACTGTTGTGATAAAAATTCTTTTAAAAATATATTTATTGCATTTTGTGATAAAAATTATTTCAAACATATATTTATTGCATTTTGTGATAAAAATTCTTTTAAAAATATATTTATTGCATTTTTTTGCTTTTTAATTATCGTATCAATAACCACCAAAAAATGTATTTTCAGGAAAACCGACACAAGATGAAAACACAATTGGAATGCTGGGCATTAAAAAGGGCTTTAAACTCATGTTAATGGGATCCCGCGAAGAAGATATCGCAGAAGTGAGTCAAGCTCCTGAGAATCTACCAGACGTGATAAATGATCTCGACATCGAGGAGGAGGAAGTGGAAATTGAAAAAGCCGAAGTTTACCTCTCAAAAATTCAAAAACGAATAGACAATTATAACGTCCTAGAATTAAATCCACTTCGCGAGGGAAAGAAATTGTTAGTTCTCGATATAGATTACACTTTATTTGATCACAGATCAGTTGCAGAATCTGGTATTGAATTAATGAGGCCATTTTTACATGAATTTTTAACGAGGGCCTATAAAGATTACGACATTGTTATTTGGTCGGCCACCAGTATGAAGTGGATTAATGAAAAAATGAAACTTCTCGGTGTAACAAATAATGCTAATTATAAAATTGCCTTTCACTTAGATTCACTTGCTATGATTTCCGTTCACACTCCAAAATACGGAGTTGTTGATGTAAAACCCCTTGGCATGATTTGGGGTAAATATAAGCAATTCTCATCGAAGAATACAATTATGTTTGACGATATTAGGAGGAATTTTATCATGAATCCTCAGTCGGGTCTTCGAATCAGACCTTTTAAGCAAGCTCATTTAAATAGACTGAAGGATCGTGAACTTTTAAAGCTTTCCGATTATTTGGAACTTATTGCGAAACTCGATGATTTTCAAACGTTGAATCACAGAAAATGGGAGGAATATAGAGCGAAGAAAATAAAGAGTCATAGTAGGAGATATGAAGGGAACGAAAAACAAAATACTTAGCAATCAAAAAACCATTTTCAGATTGAAGTTTTTGTTTTAAAAACTCATTGAGATTTTTGTCTTACGACAGTTAATCGCAAATTAAATTAATACTAAAAGTAGACAAAAATATCCTTTTTCGTAATATTATTTTTATGTCTTTGAAATAATAAATCATTTTCTATACACTGATACTTCTGAAGATATTTTTTCTTACCAAAATCATAAAAATACCAGTTTCCATTAATAATTACTTATTTTGTCAAAATGGAGGAATTAAAATGATAATAATTAATAATAATAATAATTCACATGATTATTATTTTAACTTGTTTTTCAGAAAAAAGAACAAAATGTTTCCAATAAAAACTTTTTTCTCTAAATTTTGTTTTTTGAACTTGTATACAATACTTTAATTTATTATTTTTTCGGTTGATTTTTTAAAACAATTATTTTCAATTTACAAGAATAAATTATTTTCTAATAAAAAATTTTAATTAAACGTATAATATAATTAGAGAAAAAAAGATGGCATTTTGCTTGAAGTCCGTAAAAGTCAGTTTTTTTTTTTTTAAAGTCCGTAAAGTCCGTATTTTGATTGAGAAAAGGTGAATAAAGTTCATAAATTGTACGATATAATTTGAAGAATTTTAGAGAAATTGCAAATGATTGCAGAAATTCAATTATTTTCAAAATTAATAAAATTCTTTGCAGAAATTCAATTATGTTCCAAATTTTTAAAAAATCCTCGTCAAAATTTCAATTATCTTTAGAAATAATTAAATTTTTCTCCAAAATTCAATTATTTTCGAAAATTTGCTTAAAATTCTTGTCAAAATTTCAATTATTTTAAAAATATTTCCTCAATTCAATGATTTTTAATATCTATTATTTTAATAAAATTTTCCAAAAGAATTCAATTATTTAAAAAAAATTTAATGAAATTTAACGCAAACCATTAATTATTTTCATAAACAATAAAATTTTTGCAGGAATTTAATTATTTTCGTAAATAATAAAATTTATTTTAGGAAAATTCTATTATTTTCATAAATAATAAAAAAAAACTCATTGCAGAATTTCAATTATTTTTTATACAATTTTAATCGAATTCCTCGAAAAATTATTGATAAAATTCTTTATGAGAATTCAATTCTAAGAAACATGCAATTATTCAATAAATTGTTTTTTTGTATTTAAATAATTGAATTATAGTAGAATTTTCTAATAATAATTTATTTAAAAATGTATTTCAGTTAAAATTTTAAATTATGATTAAATATTAAAAGCATTAGAGTGTCAAATTTTAGAAATAATTGAATTTTGAAAAGGTTTCAAATTAAAAACTTTGAAAATATGAATTTTTCATCTTTTTAACTAAAAATTCTGTGGAATTAATTTTTTTGAAAAAGTTTAATTGCGGATTTTTTTTCAAATTCTTTCGAGTTTTTATTTTCTAATATATTTAATTTAAGAATTTACGAATAATTGAAATTTTGTAAAATTGAATTGTAAATAAACAAATTTGAAAATTCTCAAAGAATTTTTTCAAAAGTTATTAAAAATAATGCATTTTTTATAGAATTTAAGTTAAAAACATGAATAAAAATTTAATTGTGGAAAAGTTACAAATTATTGAAGAAATTCAATAATTATTTTCAAAAGTAATAATATTCTTTGCAAAAATAAAATATTGTTCAAAAATAATAAAATTCTTCTTAGAAATTCACTTATTTTCACAAATAATAAAACTCATCACAAAATTTCAATTATTTTTAATATAATTTTAATCGAATTCAATAAATTATTTATTTTTGTATTTAAATACTTGAATTCTCGTAAGTTTTAGTTTTAGTGAAAAACACTAAAATAATTTTCTGAATTTTGGAGAAAGTTACAATTGATAGCAGAAATTCAATTATTTTCTAAAAAAAAAAAAAAATTTCGCACAAATCCAATTATGTTCTAAAATGTATAAAAATTCTCGTCAAAATTTTAATTATCTTTAGAAATAATAGAATTTTTTTCTAAAATTGGCAATTTTTCAAAAATGTTCCTCAATTTATTGATTTACAATATCTACTATTTTTATAACATTTTCCAAAAGAAATCAATTATTTTAATAAAATTTCAAGCTAACATTTAATTATTCTCATAAATAATAAAAATTTAACGGGAAAATTCAATTATTTTTTTAATACTTTAAATTTAATACAAATTTTTGATAAATTTCTTCGCATAATAATTCAATTAATTTCATGAATAATAAAATTATTCATAGGGACTCAACTATTTTTATAAATAATACAATTTTTTTACAGGGATTCAATTATTTGCATAAATAATAAAATTCTTTTTAGGAATTTAATTATTCTCATACATAAAACTCATCGCAGAATTTCAATTATTTTTAAAACAATTATAAATATAAATTGCTTGAAAAATAAATTTCTTAATAATTTTATTAAAATTCTTCTGAAGAATCTAATAATTATTTTCGAAAATGTTAATAAAATTCTAGTCAAGAATTCAATTAAGTATCTTCATAAATAATTAAATTATTCTTCGCAAAAAAGTCATTTATTCTTAAAAATTATTATTTTTATTTTCAATACAATTTTAATCGAATTCCTCGAAAAATGTAATTTTATTCTTAAAAATTTTATTAAAATTCGTCGAAAGAATTCAATTACTTAAAAATTTGTTCATAAAATTCTTTATGGGAATTGAATTTCATGAAAAAATTAATTATCCAATAAATTATTTATTTTTGTATTTAAATAATTGAATTCCAGTAGAATTTTCTAATAAAAATATATTTAAAAATGAATTTCAGTTAAAATTTTAGATAATAATTGGTTATTAAAAGTGTGAATTTTTAGAAATAATTGAATTTTGAAATTAATAGATTCAATAGCATTAATAGCATTTTCACATTTTTTCAGGTATTTCCGTACATATATTAAGGAGCTAAATAAAAAAATAAATTTTAATATATTGGATAAATTTTTTAATGTTATGCTTGTGTTGTACATTCTACACAATTTTGTACACCGCTAGAAGACAAGATATGCACTAACATTTTCAAAATATTTATTAATTTATAAATGGAAATATTGCTCTAAGAAACAATTTTGTCAAAAAAGAATAATAAAAATAAATAGTTTAAATTGAAACATACCAACATTAAGTTTCTAAAACCATTTTAATAATCCAATTTACAAATAGATTTGAACTGCAATGTTTCGTTTGGGAATAATTTTAGTTTTTTCAGTTTTGTAGATGAATCTCAACTGAATATCGAAATCATCTCTCGGTTTACTTCGAAGATCACAATTACTTTATCTTCACATAATGTTACAACAAGTTCCAGCAAAATTAATTATCATTTATCTTGTAGATAAACGTAAACTGAAACATTTGTTTGCTAATAAGTTCAGCCTTTCATTTTACAGAGGAATCTTAGCTGCAACATTTTCACTTCTTCGTCATTAATTTTAACGACACCCTCTTGGTTGTCAATTGATAAAAGTACACCGACGGCTTCTCGATCTTCTCCCAGAATAACTTTCACTTTATCTCCACGTGATGGTACAATGGGTTCCAGTTGATCACATTCTAAATTTACTGTTCTATCTTCATCCGGTAGGAAAATTGCACACATTCCTCCCTAAAAAATAAAAATTGAATTTTTAATTTTAGAAAAACTAATCAAATTATTTGTTCCAAATTAAAGTTTTTTGTTTCTAGAAATTTATAAACTAATAACGTTAATGAATGAAACGGTGAATTAACCTTTGATTTAATATTATTTTTATTAAAAATTGAACTTACGGAAATTCCTCTGATAACACCAGTTTGTCCAGCAAGTCCAGGATCTGAATGAGAATCACGTATTCTAATTTCAATGTCAGTGGTGTGCCATTCAGAGCCCATTAGTCCTGATCCAACACCCATGTCTATTCCTGATCCAGGCGTTTGCGGATTGTATGGGCTTCCCGCTATTCCTAGAAATTAAGAATATTTATTTATTTTTGCCTATTACAGACTTCGCACTCGATAATTAATTTTAAAAAAATAGCAAAAAGTAGCTTTCAAACTAAGAAAAGTAGCAGCTGTCGAAAAATTAAACTTGATGACCAAAAAAACTCGTTTTATAGAAACTTCACAAAACTGACAAAAATTCCAATCTATATTATATTTTCCTGACTTTTTCCTAATTTTCATCAAAAATATTTACTTCTTTCTTATCCTGATAATAAATTGAATTCCTGCAACAAATTTTATTTTTCATGAAAGAATTTAAATATTTGTAAATATTTATTTGTAAATATTAATAATTCAATTCTTGCGAAGAATTTTATAAAATTATTTAAATAATTGATTTTATTCGACTAATTTTATGCGAATTCTAATTTAAATAAATGAATTCCGGAGAAATTTTTAATTAGTCATAAAAAGAATTGAATTCTTACGAAGATTCTTACAAACAAATTTTTTAAACAATTGAATTATGCTTAGAAATTTTATGCAAATAGTAGATATTGAAAATCATTGAATTGCAAAAAGGTTTTAAAAATAATTACATTTTACAAAGAATTCTATTAAAATTTTTGCCAATAATTAAATGTCTGTGTGGTATTTTATTAAATTTTTTTGAAAATATGTAAATAAATTTCTAAAAAGCATTTTATTATTTATGAAAATAATTGAATTTCCCAGAAGAAATCTATTAGATACTTTTAAAAATAATTGAATTCTTGTGATGAATATTGTAATTTATGAAAATAGGTATTAATTGAATTTTGCAAAGAATTTTATTAAAATTCCTCAAAATAATTGAATTTTCTGAAAAAAAAAGAATTGAATTTCTGGTAAAATTTTGTTAATTTTGAAAATAATAGAATTCTTCATAAGAATTTTATAAAGATTGTTTGAAATAATTAATTTTTTCGAAATACAATAAATAATATGATAATTGAATTCTTGCTTAGAATTTTATCAAAATTTTTTTTAAAAAATTGAATTTCCATGAAAAATGTAATTATCAGTGAAAGTAATTGAATTATTGTGATGAATTGTATAAAAGTTTGTTTTCTTAAAACAATTTGTATTTGTATTGAAAATAATTGAATTTTTTATTAATTTTATCAATTTTTTTTAAATATCTGAATTCTGTTTAGAAACTTCATGAAAATAAATAATTAATTATTAATAAATAACTGAATTTCTTCTGAAGAATTTTAATAAAACATTTTTTTAAATAATTGATTTTTTCAAGGAATTGAAATTAAATTTTTAAGAATAGTTACATTTTTTAAGCAATTCTTGTAAAATTGTATTGAAAATAATTGAAATCCTGCGATGAATTTTATTATTTATGAAAATAATTGAATAGTTGCTACGAATTTTATTAAAATTTTCAAAAATAATTGAATTCCTAAGAAGAAATTTATTATTTGTGAAAATAATTGAATTTTTCAATTAATTAATTTAAAATAGTATTAAAAATAATTGAAATTCTTTTATGAGTTATTATTTATGAAAATGATTGAATTTTGCAAAGAATTTTATTAAAATTTCGCAAAATAATTGAATTTTCGGGAATAATTTTATAATTTAATAATAATTAAATTCTTCGGCAGAATTTTATTAAAATTTAAAAGAATAATTGAATTATTTCAAAAAAATTTAATTAAATTCTTTTTAAATTATTTGTTTTCTTTCGAACAATTTTATTAAAATATTTTAAAATTATTGAATTCCTGTAAAAAATTCAAATATTTTTGTAAATAATTGAATTCTTCAGAAGAATTTTAATAAAACATTATTTTAAATAATTGGTTTTTTGGAGGAATTGAAATGAGATGAATTTTATTATTTATGAAAAATAATTGAATACTTGCTACGAATTTTATTAAAATTTTCAAAAATAATTAGATTCTTTAGAAGAATTTTAATAAAATGTTTAAAAAGAATTGAATTTCTGTAAAAAATTTTGTTATTTTTGAAAATAATGAAATTCTTTATAAGAATTTTAGCAAAAAATTGTTTTAAATATTTAATTTTTTCGAAATATAATAAATATATATATGAAAATGTTATTTTAAATAATTAAATTCTTCCGGAAAACTTTATTTGTATAAATAATTGAATTTTTCGATTAATTATTTAAAGAGAGTGGTAAAAATAATTGAAATTCTTCGACGAGTTTTATTATTTATGAAATTAATTGAATTCTTGCTTAGAATTTTATCAAAAATTTTTTTAAAAATTTGAATTTCCATGAAAAATTGTTATTATTGGTGAAAATAATTGAATTATTGTGAAGAATTGTATAAAAATTTTGTTAAATAATTGATTTTTTTGAAAATGTTATTCTAAATTAATTAAATCCCTCTGTAAATTTTATTATTTATGAAAATAATTGAATTTTGGATGAATTTTATAAATTTGTTTTTTAAATAATTAAATTATTTTGTGAAATTTTTTGAAAATACTAGTTATTGAAAATAATTGAATTTTGAATATTTTTTTAAAATAATCGAATCGTTTTAAACAATTTGATTATAATGTTTAAGAATAGTTTTTTGATTTCTAGTATTAGCGAATAGTTGTGAAAATTCTCAAAAAAAAAAAAACAAAAATTGTAGCTTTTAGTAGCTGAAATCTAAAAAAAAATTATCCAAATAGTATGATAATGTTAAAAAGTAGTAAATAGTAACAGGGTGCCACCAAAACTCGTGAACAAAATTCACGTCTATTTCCCGTTTTTTCAAGATTTCTAAGAAATTTTCAAGGTTTTTTTATTGGTTTAAATTTTACTATAGTAATACTTCAAAAATTCAACTACTTCCACGTTTTTTATTATTTTTCATTGCCAAATTTTTTATAATTTTTTTTTTTTTTTTTTTTTTTTTTTTTTTTTTTTTTTTTTTTTTTTTATAATTTTTTATTTTTTATTTTTTTTTTTTTTTATAATTTTTTATAATTTTTTATATTTTTTATTTTTTATAGTCTTATTTTACGATTCTGAACAATCAATCGTATAGATTTTAAAAAATTTTAATTTTTTCAAAAAATAAAATTTTTAAAATGGTCAAAATTTTTTTTTTTTGGTTTTAATAATATATAATACCAAAATTCAAGGTTTTTAAAAAAATTCACGTCCAATTCACGGTTTTTTCAAAGTTTGACAAAATTCACGTCCATTTCAAGGTTTTCAAGGTTTCAAGGTCCGGTGGCCACCGTGTTAGTAAGTTTTATTAGATGAGTACGAAGCCTGCTAGAAATTTCTGCTTTTAGATAGGTATTAAAAGGTCTTCTTGAAGTTTATTACGCTTCACTTAAGAAACAAATATTGTTGTTCTGACACTTGGCTACGCCTAAAGTCATTTAAGAAAAAGAAGAAAGAAATATTCTTTCAATGAGACCAGTTTTGTAAAATTATTGGTTATTCTCTTACCAGGCGTCATAGGACTGTACCCCACAGGAGATGGGGTAGCGAAAGGTCCATGCGGACTAGCAGTGTATCCAGTTCCCGACGGTGACGGAGTTGCCACATAACCTTGTGGACTGGGACTAGCAGTTGCACTACCAGCTGGACTTGGACTCGGCTGATAGGGTCCGTAACTTTGTTCTGATCCATACATCGTTCCAGGTGTTTGAGGAGTAAACGGTCCTCCCGCTGCTGAATATCCCGGAGCATATCCCGGTGATCCACCATCTTCCATACTGTATCCATCAAAATCGTTTGTTCTGGCTGGAGTATTAGTGACTGTCGGATCCCAAGCACCCGATTGTCCAGGCGTACGCGATCCGTCATGAGACGGCGTCATTGAGCCGTAATGAGGAGTACGAGAACCAGCTAAAAAAGTTTTTTTTTTAGGAAATTATTTGAATTCCGTTTTTTGCATAAATAATGTAAACTTGTCTTCTATACTTACTTTCGTACATGGGAGTTTGAGAACCATGCATAGGAGTTTTGGAACCGTCCCTGCCGTACATTGGAGTTTGATTTCCAGCAGCATAAGCAGGTGTTCTGTTGTAACTGCTGAAACCACCGTCTTTCGTTGGAACTCCGACATTAGCAATATGCGATCTATCAACTGAAATTGTTTGACAAGTCGAATGAAGTTCAACCCTGGCTGTTGTCTCAGTGGCGTCTTTGACAATTCCAACGTTTCCTTTGTAGGGTCCTCCGGTGATCTTGATAGTAGTGCCAATCAATTCACGATCACGTCTTGCACCAGCACCTCGTCCTCTTCCCCTTCCTCCACCACCTCCTCCTCTTCCGAAACCACCACTGCGAAAAAAAAATCACCAATTTATTCCTTTTGTTTCTGACTTCAATCATAAAATATCTCATCTCAATATCTCTCTTCTCATCTTTTTTATCTTTTCGAACCAGTGAAAGTATTTAAAAATATGGAATTTACGGACCAAAAATAAAAAATTACGGACCAATTACTAACAAAAATATAACCAGTCCGAGAACATTTTACTTAAAACTAATTAAATTTTTCATAACTATAAAACATGAAGTTATCGGTAACTCCGAGTCTTCGACTCGGAATGATCGATTTCTTCATGTTTTATAATAATTAAAGATGACCATGTGATGAAATCATTATCAATTAAATTATTATTTCTTATTCAAGAATTTTTAATTAAAATTCTTCTTTAAATCGATTATTTTTAATAATTTTCGAAACAGTTCTTTGACAATTTTCCAATCCATTTGTTTACAATATTCAAATTTATGACATTTGAATTATTCGTAAATTCTTCAATTAAATAAATATTAGAAAATAAAAACATCAAATAATATAAAAAATGCAATTAAACTTTTAAAAAAAAAAATTAATTTCAAAATTCAATAATTTCCAAAAATTTACGCTATATTGCTTTTAATATTCAATTATTATTTAAAATTTTAACTGAAATTAATTTTTAAATCAATTTTTCTTAGAAAATTATACTAGAATTCAATTATTTAAATAGAAAAATAAATAATTTATTGAATAATTGAAAGTTTCTTAAAATTGAATTCTCAAAAAGAAGTTTATCAACAAATTTTTAAATAATTAAATTCTTTTGACGAATTTTAATCAAATTTTTAAGAATAATAATTACATTTTTCTAGAAATTCGATTAAAATTGTATTAAAAATAATTGAAATTCTGCGATGAGTTTTATTATTATTTGTGAGAATAATTGAATCCTTTAGAAGAATTTTATTATTTATTAACAATATTTAATTTGTGGCAAGAATATTAAGAATATTCAAGAATATTTTTGAAAATAATTGAATTTCAGAAATAATTTGTAACTTTTTCAAAATTAAATTTTTTTTAGTGTTTTTTTAATTAAATTCTTCTATAAATGTAATATTTTTAATAATTTTTTGAAAAAGTTCTTTAAGAATTTTCAAATTCATTTGTGTACAATATTCAATTTTAAGAAATTTCAATTATTCGTAACTTCTTCAATAAAATAAAAACGTAAAATAATACCTATAAAAAAAATTCAATTAAACTTTTTCAAAAAAATTAATTACAAAATTCACGATATACTGATTTTAATGTTCAATTATTAAATTATTATCTAAAATTTTAACTGAAATTCATTTTTAAATCAATTTTTATCAAAAAATTCGAGGAGAATTCAATTATTTAAATACAAAAATAAATTATTGATTGAATAATTTAATGTTTCTGAAAATTCAATTCCTATAAAGAATTCTATCAACAAACTTTTAAATAATTAAATTCTTTTGACAAATTTGAATAAAACTTTTAAGAATAATTCCATTTTTCGAGGAATTTGTTTAAAATTGTATTAAAAATAAATGAATCTCTGCAATGAGTTTTATTATTTATGAAAATAATTAAATTGCTGTAAAAGTGTTATTATTTATGAAAGTAATTGAATGATTGCGAAGAAATTTATAAAAAATTTGTAGATATTGAAAATCATTGAATTGAGCAAATTTTTTGAAAATAATTGAAATTTTTCCAAGAATTTTTAAAAAATTGTTGAAAATAATTGAATTTGGAGAAGAATTTTATTATCTATAAAGATAATTTCTGGGAAGAATTTTATTACTTTTGAAAATAATTGAATTTTTGCAATCATTTGAAACTTCTCTAAAATTTAAATTTTTTTAGTTTTTTTAACTATAATTTTTCTATAAATCTATTATTTTTAATAAATAATAAAATATATTTAAAAAATTGAACTAATTTCAGAAGAATTTGAATTATTAACATTTTTCAAACATCGAAATTCTTTAAAATTTCTAATAAAATTCATTCAAAATTAAAATTTTATAAAATTCTAAATTAAATCCTTTTGAAGTTCATCTATTTATAAAAATTGTAAACGCAATTCTTTTAAAATTCAATTAATTTTGAAACATTTAAGTAAAATTATTCATTAAATTATTTATAAGTAATAATTTTATGATATTTCTTCAAGAATTAAGTTATTTAAAAAGAAATTATTGTCAGAAATGGAAAAAATTAAAGGTTTTGTATTAGAATTTTTGTTTTTTCTAAAAAAAAACTATTAATAATAATATTTTAATTATTTGAATGTAAATTAATTATTTTTCTGGAGGTCTGTATTCTTTTGAATGAACCACCTTATAATCAAAAATAAAAAGCACTGAATTCTATAATATTGAGTCTAAATTTTATGATTACCGTTTGAAAAAGATTTCAAAAAAGACAAACTTCTTTATTTTTAGTTAGAAAAAGGGAACAAATCGTCAAAAATTGAAAAAAGGGGAAAAGGGAATCATCTGTCCTCTTTTCAAAAGGGTTTTTGTTTTTTCAAAACAAAAGTCCTGGCCTTTTGTTTCTGACTTGAATCATAAAATATCTCATCTTTAACACAAAGTAAAATGATCTAAATTAAAAAGAATTGCTCACTTTTTCGAGAGATACTAACCCACTAGGATGCATAGGCGAAGCAATTCTCGGTGACATAAATCCAGCCATTGGCGACATTGATGGTGTAATTGTTGCCTTATTTCCACCAGCAAGTTGCAGATGTCTTGTTTTACAAACAAATATACCACCATTATCGATGTACATTCTTGAATGAAGAAACGCGCAACTTCTATAGAGATGCTTAATTTCACCACCCCTTCCAGCGTGTGGTCCATCGATAACCTTGACGACGTCCTTTTTCTGAATAGTATTTTGCTGGGAGTCAAGAGCGACAGCGTGTCGATTCTCTCGGCGTTTTGTCAGACCTTGAGGTCTAGCCTCAACAACTTTTCCATGCATCGAGAGAACGTGGAAATTTTCACGTTCAAGTCGCACTATCACGCCAACAGTTTGTGGATCCAATTGAACGAGATCGCCCCACTGGAACTGACCCATACTGTCAACTCCCGTCGCCATATCAGAACAGAGCTGCAAATCTCTAGGAAGCACTTCCAATTCATGCATTGATAAATCGGAAAATAGAACGACTCGATTATGCTCGACACGGACAATTAGACCCGTATCGCCCTCGTACCTTCCTGCAACAACCTGAAAGAATGCTTAATTTATTTTCTCTGTTACAGGCCTCGGATCGACTTTAACGAGCAAAAAAAAGTCGCTTTAGTCGCTTAAAAATAGAAAAAAAAGTCGTTTATTTAATTCAGTTCTGTAACAAAAATTTTATTAATTGTACTTCCCTGATTCTTCACTGATTTATAAATTCAATTAATAAAAACTTGAATAATTTTGCTAAATAAATATTTATAAATACTTTTTATTTATTTTTCAACGGGAAATAAATTTTAAAAAATTTCAACTTCTCAAATTTAATAATTTCTAAAAAGACAACTATAACCCTTCCAAAATTCAATTATTTTCTACAACTTTTAACTAAACTTCATCTCTCAATCAATTATCTATATTAATTTTTAATAATTTTCCGAAAGTTCTTCGAGAATTCAATTATTTAAATACAAAAATTCAATTTTTTATAATAATTGAAACTATCCATATTTCTCTTTTTAAAGATATTAAGGTAGAATATTATTTCAAACATTTTAATATAAAAATTCTTAATATAAATTTTTAAAAAATATTTTAAAATAATTTTTGAACGACAATAGTTTTACAATTATATACAATTAGAAAATATTCAAAAAATTCAAATTTGGTAATATCTTTTTAAAAAAAATTCAAATTTGGTAAAATCTTATTAATTATTATTTTTAAATCTTAAATCTTATTAAAAATAATTGAAATTTGATAAAATCTTTGAAAAATAATCATTTAAATTTGATAAAATCTTTTTAAAATAATTGAAACTAGCAAATGTTACGCGCGGAACGTGATATTTAATTTATTATTATTTTGCAAATACAGTAGAACCTCGGTTATCCGAGCCTCGATTATCCGAGGCACTAAACATGCTCGGATAATGCGGAATGACTCGGATAAAACGGATCGAGCGACTAAATTTGGAAAATAAATTTTACAAAACCACTATTTGTGATCATTGCATTTAAAATTTCGTCCATTTTTGTCATTTAATATTATTCTAACACTTTAAACACATGAAAAATAATTAAAAATTTTGAAATTTTCATTGGTTCCGTGTTATCCGAGTTTTCGATTATCCGAGGTACCTCTTCCCCACATTACCTCGGATAATCGAGGTTCTACTGTAACAAAATTTTTTATTTTCAAATATGAATTTTTGAATTATTTCAGATTCAAACTTTAAAAAAATTCAATTATTAACTAATTTACTAATTAATTATTCTTTAATTTCAATAATTTTAATCAAATTCTTCTCAAGAATTCAATTATTTTCATAAATAATAACATTCTTCGTAAGAATTCAATTATTTTTATAAATAGTTAAATTCTTTGCAAAAATTCCATTATTTTTAAAGAAAATTTTAATAAAATTCCACGAACGAATACAATTATTTTCTGAAATTTTAATAAATCCTTCGAAACAATTCAATTATTTTTTTAAAATAGTAAAATCTTTGCAAAAAATTTCAGTTTTATTTTCAAAAAAAATTTCACGAAAGAATTCAATTTTTTTTCTTAATTCGTTATAAAATTTTTAAAAATAATTTACTTTCTAAAATTTTAATAAAATTCAATAATTAAATGTTTAATTTCAATTTTTTTTAAACACAATTATTTTATAAACTTGAAAGAAATTGATCATAAAATTCAATTATTTTCGAAATTTTTAATTAAAATTATTAAAGAAACTCCATTATGTATTTTAAAAAAATTTCAAAGAAATTCTTTGAAAAGAATGTAATTAAAATTTTTAAAAATTTTAACAAAATTCTTCGCAGGAATTAAATTATTTTTCTAAATATGTAATCAAATTCAACTTCAACTATATAAGTTGATAAAAGTCGCATTATTTGAAAATAGTGGAAAAAAATCATAATATCCGAGGTCTGCTATAATAATTATTTTCTTCAAGATAGAATTTTATGTTTCTTACCTTCACATGATCACCCATGGTAAAATATTTTCGCAATTCATTGGCTTGAAATTCGAGAGCTTCCTTAAGCTCCTCGTGTTTAGGCATAACCATAATCATATTCCCATCGATGGAGACGATTTTTCCCTGAAGATTCATCAATTCACCTTCGCAGACTTCGACATTGTCACCATTACTGAATGAATGAGTGACAGTTGAATCTTCCTTTCCAGTAGAGGCACCGGTCGATGGTGTGCCACTTAATTCAATGTCAATTCCTTCTGGCGACTCTTCGAATTTCTCCAATTCGGAAAGTGTTGGTTTCACTCCCTCGACGATAATTGCGCTCATTGTGAAACTTTTATACAAAAAGCCCTTGCGACTGTATCGATTGCCTTCGAAAAGAAGATAATCACCATCGCTCGTCACTTCTCCACCGATAGCACGAATAGCTTCGGGATCGAAAGGCTTCGCCGGTGGTCGTCGTTTTTTCTTTCGTTTCAGAGCCTCTGATTCGCTTTGAGCTGTTCGTAGAGCGCCACGAGGTCTTGTGTAATCAATTCTCGGCAATAGTTTCAAGTGGACTTGATTTTGTCCCAAATCGACGTAATCAACCTGAGCAATGTCGTCTTTGTAGATGCCTCTCTTGAGTCTCACCCATTGCTTCTTCTTCAAGCCGGATTGTCGTTTTACAACTCGCAGGACGTCCGTCATTTCCTTGATCGGCACCATTTGCTGCTTCCAGATACCCATTCTCAAATTGCCAACATTGTCGATGGCAGATTTCACATGTGGTTGTTTGTACGCCTCAATGTAGAGATAGCCTTTTATTCCTTCAGGAGCAACGACCGATTTTATTTGAAGTGGCTGACCTGGAAATTAAATAAAAAGGAAATACAAAATGTCTAAAATTATTTTTCATATTTTTCAACTCAAATTTAATAGAATAGAATAAGTTTCCTACTTACCAGCAGTTTGATATGATAAGAATTTTCTCATTAACAATAAAAGTGTCGCTTTTTCTTCCCCAATACGACACTTGACCATCCAAAGATTTGGATCTTTAACACCCGGAAGTAAAGTTTGTTGAGTAATTTCGTCACCCATTTCCTCGCCACCGTCTCCGAAGTGACGAGCAGCCATTGACTCGTCCGCATATTTTTTGCGAAGATATTCTTCAATTTCGTCTTCTTTCTGTGAACTAAATCACATAAAAATAATTAAATATTACAAATATTCTTCAATTTCGTCTTCTTTCTGTGAACTAAAATATAAAAAACTAAAAAACTAAAAAATATAAAACATAAAAATAATTAAAGTTTCTCTTTCGATTCAATGAGAAGTTAATTTTTCTTTTTAAAAACTTACTCCCAAAGATTTGTTCCTCTTCTTCTGCCTTCAATTTCTCGAGCTGTGGGTCCAGCTTCCTCAATTTCGTGCACAATACCCATTTCTTGAGCACCTTCTTCCCAATCCTCATCATCTTCAACCTCGTCGTCAACCTCGGCTTCATGAATAATGAAGTCATTGCATCTATCCTTTCTCTTCTTTTTCCTTGGTCTATCGTCGTCTTCATCTTCCTCCTCGTCATACTCACTGTCATCTAAATCTTCTCCTGTAAATGGAAACGTAATATAAATAATGCAAGAAAATAAAGTCTAAACTTTGCAAATGAAATAACTAACTGATGGTTTCCGTAATTATTACTTTTAACCTGGCTGCCACAAAATTATAATTTCGTTTTTCCCTGATTTCCAAACAAAATTATGACTTTCCCTGACCCTGAAAAATATTCTGATTCACTCTAAAAATAAATAGATCCTCAAAAAAATGTTCTATTCCATTTATTTACAAATTTCTTTAATTGAGAAAAGACATCAATAGGAAAACATCAATAGTTTTTTATTTAAAATAAATATTTAATGACTATTATTTTTCCATAGGAATTAAAATTCTTCAAAACATTCAAATTCAAACTGTTTTAAAATTCAACAACTTATTATTTTTTATTATTTTTCCATAGGAATTAAAATTCTTCAAAACATTCAAATTCAAACGTTTTTGATAATTAAACAATTTATAAAAAAATGTATAAAACATGAAGATATCGATCACTCCGAGTCTTCGACACGGACTTCATGTTTTATAATAATTAAAGGTGACCAAGTGATAAAATCATTATTTTATATTATAAAAATATTGTTACTGTAACTTCTTCAAAATTATTTTCATCATTTTAATTCAATTATTATTTTCTAGACTTTTTAACTAAAATTCTTCTTTAAATCAATTATTTTTAATAATTTTTGAAAAAGTTCTTTGCGAATTTTCAAATCCATTTGTTTACAATATTCAATTTTACGAAATTTAAATTATTCGTAAATTCTTCAATTAAATATATATTGAAAAATAAAAACTTGAAATAATTTCAAAAAAATTCAATTAAATTTTTTCAAAAAAAATAATTCTAAAGAATTGTTTGTTAAAAATATGAAAAATTCACATTTTTAAAGATTTTAATTAGAAACCTTTTCAAAATTCAATTATTTCTAAAAATCCAGGCTCTAATGCTTTTAATATTCAATTATAATCTAAAATTTTAACTAAAATTCATTTTCAAATCAATTTTTATTAGAAAATTCTACTAGAATTAAATTATTTAAATGTAAAAATAAATAATTTATTTAATAATTAAATGTCTCTTAAAATTCAATTCCCATAAAGAATTTTATCAATAAATTTTTGAATAATTGAATTATTTTGATAAATTTTAATAAAATTTTTAAGACCTAATTACATTTTTCGAGGAGTTTGATTAAAATTGCATTAATAATAATTGAACTTCTGCTATGAATTTTATTATTTATGAAAATAATTGAATCCCTGTAAAAATTTTATTATATACGAAAATAATAATTGAAAGATTGCAAAGAAATTTATAAAAAATTTGTAAATTATTTAATTCTTGTGAAATTTTTATTATTTTATGAGAATAATTGAAAGTTTGCAAAGAATTTTATTACATTTTTTTTAAATAATTGAATTCTTTTGGAAAATTTAATTAAAATAGTAGATATTAAAAATCATTGAATTGAAGAAAATTTTTGAAAATAATTGAAATTTTGACAACAATTTTATTAAAATTTTTGAAAATAATTGTATTTCGGAGAAGAGTTTAATTATTTCTCAAGATAATTGAAATTTTGACGAGAATTTAAAAAAATTTTTGAACATTATTGAATTTTTTTGCGAATAATTTAATTACTCTTGAAAATAATTGATTTTCTGCAATAATTTGTAACTTTTTCAAAATTAATTTTTTTCTCCTGCTTCAAACTAAAATTTTTCCATAAATGCAATATTTTTAATAATTTTCGAAAAAGTTCTTTAAGAATTTTTAAATTCATTTGTTTACAATATTCAATTTTACGAAATTACAATTATTCGTAAATTGAATTCAATAAAATGTAATTCTCATGAAGAGTATTATCAGCAAATTTTTAAATAATTAAATTCTTTCGACGAATTTTAATAAAATTTTTAAGAATAATTACATTTGAAGGGCTACATAAAATAAGGGGACGAACGCGTGGTTGAAAGGGATAATATCAGTCAGGTAACAGTGAGCGGCTCAAGGCTTGTCACTGCTACCCGACTGGTAATATCCCTTCCAAGCCTCGCGTTCGTCCCCTTATTTTATGTAGCCCTTCATTTCTCGAGGAATTTGATTAAAATTGTATTAAAAGTAATTGAAATTCTACGATGAGTTTCATTATTTTTATGAAAATAATTGAAATATTGCGAAGTAAATTATAGAATATTTGTAAATAATAGAATTTCTGTGAATTTTTTATTATTTATGAAAATAATTAAATGTTTGTGTAAAATTTTATTAAAATTTTTTTAAATATTGAATTTCTTTGGAAAACTTTATTAAAATAGTAGATTCAGGGTGTCTACTGAAAATATGATTTAAAATTCCAGGACATTTTCAGGACATTCCAGGACAGATTCCTTATTTTTCCAGGACATAAAAATGGATAATATTATTTTATATTACGATTAGAATAATTTAAATTAACCTACTTGAACAAAAATATTCATTTTATCATATCAAGAGTGAAAAATCTGTATTGAAGATAGTACCTATTTATTTATCAAACGACAAATTGGAATTATTTGTTGATAGATCAAAAAAAAATTTTTTTCAAGTTTGAGTAAAAATTTTTAATTATGGAATATTTTAAAGCAAAATATGGAAAATTCAAGGACAAAAGTTGAAAATCCATGTCATTTAAGGACATTTTTTAAAATTCCAGGACTTTTAGGACCAGTAGACACACCCTGTAGATATTAAAAATCATTGAATGGAGTAAAATTTTTGAAAATAATTGAAATGTTGCCAAGAATTTTATTCACATTTTTGAAAATAATTGAATTTCAGAGAATTGTTATTTATAAAGATAATTGAATTTTTAACCAGAATTAAAAATTTTTTTTAACATAATTGAATTTTTGTGAAGAATTTTATTACTTTTGAAAATAATTGAATTTCTGCAATCATTTATAACTTCTCCAAAATTCAAATTATTTACTGTTTTTAACTAAAATTCTTCTATAAATCCATCATTTTTAATAATTAATTAAATATACCTATATCAAATATTTAGTAAATTCTTCCACAATTATTTCATAAATTAATTTTTTCGATTTTTGGAAGACGTATATAAAAGTTAAAAGAAAATCACTCTTTTACTTTTTTATAAAATAGACGACGTTTCGGTGGTCAGGTTCGTTTAATAAATATATATTAAAAAATTGAACTAATTTCAGAAAAATTTGAATTATTAAAATTTTTCAAACATCTAAGTTCTTAAACATTTTCAAGACAATTAAATTCATTCAAAATTGAAATTTTATAAAATTTCAAATCCTTTTGAAGTTCATCTATGACTATGAAAAATTGTAAACGCAACTCTTTTAAAATTCAATTAATTTTGAAATATTTAAGTAATTTCATAGTTTATGACGCAAACAAAAAAGACACAAAATTTAGAATTTTTTATGAATTCTAAAAATTAAATTTTTTCCAGTACTTTTAATGAAAAATTTCCCTGATTCCCCTGACCTGTGGCAACCTTGTTAATAGAAAATATTAATCGATTTATTTACCCTCAGGTTCTTCCTCAGGTTCAACATCCTCATCTCCTGATCTGGCTTCTTCAGCTTCAGCAACAGACCTTAGAGAAATAATAATCGAAATGTAACAATTTTTTTTAAAAACTAAACTTGTTTTTCATTTTAATTAATAAACATATTGTTATTATTACCCTGAGCGAGATCGTGAACGAGACCGGGAACGAGATCTAGATCTTGATCTACTTAATCTTGACCTGGATCTTGATCTAGACATTGATCTCGATCCTGATCTTGACTTTGATCTAGATCTAGATCTCGAGACACTTTTTCTGGAATGATTCTCCTCAATTTCACTATCGCTGCCACCTCCTCGGCGACCTCCTCGTTCGCTCTCATTTTCGGAAAAATTACTTCCTTCTGAATCCGACATGTTTCCCCAAGAAAGGGAAACACTGCAGAAACTTCAAAAGCAAGCTGTAAAAGAAGAAAACATTAAGACATTAAAATTATTTTCCCTGACAAAATTATTTTCACAGGAAAATATGAAAGTTTACGAAAAATGAGAATATTTTAATATAATTTCTAAAAATTACAATTATTAAACCCTTTTTGAATTTAATTATTTTCTTTAATAATTTCTCCGAAATTTTAATAAGTCCAAAAAAGTAAATTTTTAATTGCCTTGTTCAAAGATAATTAAATCTTAAAAAATTATGATACAAAAATTTTAAGAATTAAGTATTTTTTAAAAATATTTTAATGTAATTTTTCGAAAACAATTGAATTTCTTAAAAGAATTTTTGTATTATTTAAAAAAAACTAATTAATTTTTTGATGAATTTTAATGAAATACTTTGAATATGAATTTTTTCTTTAAAATGTTAAAAATAATTCTAAAATGTTATTATTTTTAATTTTTAAACCTTTGTTTAAAGATTTTTCATTAAAAGTTTTGATAATTAAATTATTTTGAAAATTTGCAATTAAAATTCTTCAAAAGTTGATTTTCAAAAATTCTAACAAAATAGGCACTTGAAAATAATTATTTTCAATTAAATTTCACAAAATTTCAATTATTAAAAATCTTTTTAATTGTATATTTCGAAAATTTAAATTTTCCTGACATTTCCCTGACTTTACTGACAAAAATTTTGTGTTACTGCCATTTCCCTGACTTTACTGACATGTGGCCACCCTAAATAATAATTGACGAATAATTTTTTTTATTTTACATAATTAAATTCTCAAGATTCTCAATATAAATACATAACTCCACAAATGCCAAGTCAAAACTATAAATATAAAGAAACATTTTTACAACGAATAGTATATGTATGTCATAACCTTATACCCTTATATATGAAGAATGATTTTCATTATATAAAAATATTTATAGAAATTCACCATTAGAAAAAATGCAGCAAAAGAAAAAATACAACATCTTTTTCATAAATTATCAGTAATAATCGTAAAAATAAACGAAAAACATTATTTTATATCTGTCAATGTCAATTTTCCAAAACATATTTGAATCTGGCTTAATAAACATTTGATATTAATTTATAGATAATTCTAATTATAAAAAGATAATCTTTCGAAAAAAATCTTATTTTTCTAATTTACAATTGAAAAAACAATTGAAAATATACAAACCAACATTTTATATAAAGAAAAATGAACGTTCTAATAATTTTGAGGTTAACTTTTGAAACCGTAATTCAAATTCAGTGCTAAAGCTATAAAATTTAGTAAATACATGTTTTGGAAGTTACTCATTTTAAATTATTTAAAAATAACTATTCTATATTATCTAAAACTGTAAAATATGAATAATTCATCAATTATTTGGAATTTTTATGTTAAAACTACGAACTGTAAGCCATAGTGTGCAAAAACATTGACAATAAATTATTGACAAATTGCACAAAAGTAGAGCTTCATTTAAAATATCAATAATTAAAAAATTTAATAAATTTTAGTTGAAATGTGTTTATACTGACCTTTATAAACTTATAAATGTATAAATCTTATAAATTTCACTGATTCACAATAATCACACGATTCTCAACTTCCCAGGTTATTGTCGTGAGTGACGCGTCCATGATGGGGTGCTACTCTCTGTACCAAAAACATAAGTTCGAATGCTCATTATGCCGAATTTACAATTTAGAAATGACCAGATACGCGAATCCTCAATAACCTAAATTGTATATTGAATGAAATTCAAAAGTAGGGAATAATCATTTGATATATTCTGCATATGGAGAATATTATTTTAAACTAATTCTTTTTTTCCACAATTTGAAATTATTGCAATTTTTATTTTTGGAATTTCCACTTTACCTACATTTTAATAGATCGAAACGTAAAATATCAGAATTGACATTTAATTGAAATATGATGGAGAATAAATATATATTCACTGAATAAAAAGATTAAATAATTATTAAATGTTTGAATTTAATAAAAACATATTGTTCAAAAGTTACAGTGCGAATTGTACAGAATATATATTAATAAGAAATATAATTTGGCAGAATGTCGATTCGATCGATTTTATATTTGCAAGAAATTCAATTTGACAGAATATCAATTTATAAGAAACACGTTTTCGTAGAACTTTAACTTGTCAGAATTGTAATTTTGTAGAATATTAATATTGGCAAATCTAATTTTGGTAGAAATCTGCTTTATCAGAATGATCACATGTTCGAATCCTCAAAAGTTAGAATTCCATTTTTACCGAAAATGGATTCCACATAAATATTTCGCGCAAATTTTAAAATTCTGATTTCTGATTGGTCGATTTTAAAATTTGCGCCAAATATTTATGTGGAATCCATTTTCGGTAAAAATGGAATTCTAACTTTTGAGGATTCGAACATGTGATCATTCTGATAAAGCAGATTTCTACCAAAATTAGATTTGCCAATATTAATATTCTACAAAATTACAATTCTGACAAGTTAAAGTTCTACGAAAACGTGTTTCTTATAAATTGATATTCTGTCAAATTGAATTTCTTGCAAATATAAAATCGATCGAATCGACATTCTGCCAAATTATATTTCTTATTAATATATATTCTGTACAATTCGCACTGTAACTTTTGAACAATATGTTTTTATTAAATTCAAACATTTAATAATTATTTAATCTTTTTATTCAGTGAATATATATTTATTCTCCATCATATTTCAATTAAATGTCAATTCTGATATTTTACGTTTCGATCTATTAAAATGTAGGTAAAGTGGAAATTCCAAAAATAAAAATTGCAATAATTTCAAATTGTGGAAAAAAAGAATTAGTTTAAAATAATATTCTCCATATGCAGAATATATCAAATGATTATTCCCTACTTTTGAATTTCATTCAATATACAATTTAGGTTATTGAGGATTCGCGCATCTGGTCATTTCTAAATTGTAAATTCGGCATAATGAGCATTCGAACTTATGTTTTTGGTACAGAGGGTAGCACCCCGTCCATGATTTGTTTTACGTGCCTTTGCGCTATCATACGTATGATACGTATAGTCTTACGTAAGGCACGTAAGTTACGTATATTAATTTTAAATATTAAATTTTTTTTATTTTTATTATTATATTGTAATTATTATAGCCATATGCATAATATTATGATTATTTGGGCAATTCCACGTAAAATTTTTCTATTAAAGTAATTTTTTGAGAATCATAATTTTCTTATATTTTTTATTTTTAATATATAAAAATTATGATATAAAATAATTTAGAAAAATAAACAAATAAATTTTCAAATAAAAAATTGAATAACAATTGTATTTTTTAGCATTTTCAGCATAAAAATAAAGTTTTCTTTCAAAAAAATGCTTAAAAAATTATAAAAATCAATTTTTTTGTTTGATAATTTCTTTGTGGCTTCAAAAACACATTTTCTACAAAATTACGCACAGATTTTAAAATCGACTAATTTTTAAGAAAAATAAAAATTCAAAAAGGATGAAAACATTTTTTGACGAATTGCTCTCAAAAATTTACTATAAAAACAATTTTATGAAACATTTAAATAATTGAATTCTTCTGACAAATTTTAATTAAAATTTTTAGAATAGTTACATTTTTCAAGGAATTTGATTAAAATTATATTAAAAATAATTGGAATTCTGCGATGAGTATTTTATTATTTCTGAAAATATTTGAATTATTGCGAAGAAAATTATAAAAAAATTTATAAATATTTGAATTCCTGTGAAATTTTTATTATTTAAGAAAATAATTAAATGTTTCCGTACAGTTTTATTAAAATTGTTTTTAAATAATTGAATTCTTTTGGGTAATTTTATTAAAATAGTAGATATTGAAAATCATTGAAATGAGGAAAATTTTTGAAAATAATTGAAATTTTGACAAGAATTTTATTGCAATTTTTGAAAATAATTGAATTTTGTGATAAGAATTTTATAACTTTTGAAAGTAATATTGAATTTCTGCAATCATTTGTAACTTCTTCAAAATTCAATTTTTTTTTTGTGTTTTTAACCAAAATTCTTCTATAAATCCATTATTTTTAATAATTAATTAAATAAATATATATTGACAAATTTAACTAATTTTAGAAGGTTTTGAATTATTTGAATTTTTCAAAAATTCTAAGTTCATTAAAATTTCTAATTAAATTCATTCAACATTGAAATTTTATAAAATTTCAAATTGTAACCGTTTGAAGTTAATTTATTTATGAAAATTGTAAATTCCTGTGAAAAATTCTAATATTTTTGTAAATAATTAAATTCTTCCAAAGAATTAAAAAAAATTTTTTTTTAAATACCTAATTGATTTTTTCGACGATTGATGGAAAGGAATTTTTTAGCAATTCCTGTAAAATTGTGTTTAAAATAATTGAAATCCTGCGATCAATTTTATTATTTAGGAAAATAATTGAATAATTGCTAAGAATTTTATTAAAATCTAAAAGATTAGTTGCAATGAATTTTACTAAAATTTTCAAAAATAATTGAATTCCTGAGAAGAATTTTACTAGAATTTTGAAATATAATTGAATTTCTGAGAAGAATTTTATTATTTATAAAAATAATTAAAGTATTACGAAAAATTTTATTAAACTGTTTGAAAAGAATTGAACTTCTCTAAAAAATTTGGTTATTTTTGAAAATAATTGAATTCTGCATGAGAATTTTATAAATATTCTTTTAAATAATTCAGTTATTCGAAATATAATAAATATTATGAATTCGTAGTAATTTTATAGTTTATAAGTCAAACATAAAAGACACAAAAATTCAGAATTTTCTTATGAATTCTAAAAATTTAATTTTTTTCAGTACTTTTAATAAAAATTTCTGACTTTTCCCCCTGAATTCCCTATGTCAGAATGTATGATTATTATAATTATAATAATATTAAAACTATATATTCCAATTCATATTTTATTTTTATAAAAAAAAATTTGAATAAAAAATTTTTAAGTTCTATTATTTTTAAAGTTGCGAATTTTATTTAAAAAAAAGTATAGTATACAATTAAAACAAGTAAATTAATATTTCAAAAATGATTTTTTATTACATATTAAATAAGCAGAGTGTACACGAGTAGTGTGCTTTTTGAATTTTAGAAAGATATAAAATTTCCTGTGATATGACTAAATTTAAAAATGCTCAATTTTTCATTAATATGTTATTATTATGTATATGTATAATTCAATTTTTCTTTGTCTCCTAAAAAATATAAGAAGAAAGCAGAAATAAATTTTACCACCACTCAATGCACAATGAAGCAGATATTTATCTATATGTTCACGGCAGGGAGTTATTGAAATTATTATTAATTTAACACATCTTCCTATATTTTTCTAATACATAGAAAAATCGTAAGAATTTGTCAAACTCCACTGATACGTAAAAGCTCTCTTAAATTAAAAGTAGACAGGTATAAATACTTGTCATTTTTTGGTACATATTTACATATTTACAGATTGCTCGAAGCAACATTGATAATATTAATACATTTGCCTAAAAGCTATTTTTAAAATCTATCGGATTAAAATGTAAATTCTTACTTTTTTCCTCTAATTTCTCAATTATTTTCCTCACGTGCAAAAAAGAAGCAATTTTCGTAATATATGTAAATTTATATTAAGGGAAAATACGCGAAATTTATGTACAATATACAATAGGCACGCAATTTTTGTAAACATCAATATCAAGTGTCAAAAAAAAAATTTATTTTCTTTTCATTAAAAGTTTTTACTATAATTATACTGATTAGACTATTATTATTGTTATTAAATATTGTAAAGCTTTACATGAAATCCGATAGTAACTTACATATTTGCTGTACATTATAACACTAATTCTTGACAGTAATTACATAAATAATATTTACTATTCGGCCCCATACAGAAATCATGAAAAACAATTGTAACTTTGCATCAGAAAATAAATTCAATAAAAAATATACGCACAAAAAGCAGAAGAAAATTCTCAAAATAATAAATACTGTTAGATCAACTATAAACGTATTCCTTGAATAAAAACACCGTACAGAAGGTATATAAATAATTTAAAAAAAACGATTGTTATAAATAGAAGGAATAAATTGATAGATATAATGATTATCGATTTTCTACCTTCCAACACACAGAATAAATTACAATAAGACTCATCGTAAATTTGAAGATTCATTCAATGTTTATAAATGAAATATAATATAATAATAGTTCATTGTCTGGAATTAGTGTAACAATGTGTACAAGCGTATAAATAATACTATCACACTGTTCTTCTATTTCCACTTTCAAACTGTCTCTGTATTTTTCTTTTTTTTTCTTTTATTTGAAAAAGTAAACATTAAAAGTGCCTCTTAACTTTCTCTCTATCAGGTAGAGATAACTGAGAGTACTTCGCTTCTCTTGGACATTTTCCGAGAGCGATAGTTCTTCCTAAATGTACGAAAGAAGTCCAGTTTGTAACGACGTGTAGAATAATAAATATGCACTGGAATTTTGTGACTTCACTTGATTCGATGAGACTTCGGCAACAGTGTGATCATCATATTTATACCACCTTGAAAGAAAAAAATATTTTATATTCTATTTACACTTAAAAAAAAAATATTTATATTATATTATTATATTATTTGAAAACGACCCTCGTCATAAATTATTGCCAAATGTAAGGCAATTTTTAAATCATTATTTCTACTATTTAATTAATAAAACTGAACTTTATTTATTATTAGTGGTTTTAGAAGAAAAATTTCGAAACTTACAAAAATAAAAAAAAAAGTGTACTTTTACCTTTGACAAAAATTTGTAAAAATAAGTTAATTTCTCAAATTCTCCTGAATTGTCCATTTTATAATCTTTACAGTGAATTCATTAGAATATTTAAGTTTTATTTTGAAATATGTTTAAAAAAAATAGGAGATAACGTGTTTTAAAATATTCAAAAGATTATTTTTCAAACTTAATATTTTACATAATTCATATTATTTAAAAAAATTTTTTTTCTATTGTATATTTGAGAAAATTTTTTTTAACCATAAGTAAAGTATTAGGTAAAATTTGATTATTATTATAGGGGTTTATATCACGAAAAAAGTGATAATTTCTTCTAAATAATTTTTTAAAGTATTTAGCAGGTTTAGAGGGAAAATGCGAAAAAGCAAAATTTTGATACAGAAAATACTATAAACTTTGAAAAAAAGTTATATGAAATATAATATAGTTGTATTCAAATTTAATTAACGTTCTTTGATTAAAAAAATACTAAACTTCACATAACTTTCAAAGTTTAGAATTTTTCATATATATAAGAAATTCACTTTGTCGCATTTTGTCATTTTTCATATTTTTCTAACACCTTGTATAACCTCAGCATTTCAAAATAAGTGATAAACAAATGAATGTTTCAGCATTTGAATTTAAAAACATGTTATATAATTTTCAAATTACTTATTTATTTAATTTTCTAGAACTATTTTTGTTAATTTTAAAATATAGACTCACATCAAGTGAATTAATAAATGATTTGAAAATAAAATTTTGGAAATACAATTTGAGTTATGCAGACTTCACACTCGATAATTAATTTTTAAAAAGTAGCAAAAAGTAGCTTTCAAACTAAAAAGAGTAGTAAAAAAGTAGCTACCGAAAAATTAAACTTGAGGATCAAAAAAACTAGTTTTACAAACTTCACAAAACTGACAAAAATTCCATTCTTTATTTTATTTTCCTGACTTTTTCCTAATTTTCACCAATAATATTTACTTCTTTCTTATTCTGCTAATAAATTAAATTCCTGCAACGAATTTTATTTTTCATGAAAAAATTTTAATATATTTGTAAAAATAATTCAATTCTTGCGAAGAGTTTTATAAAAAAAGTTTTTAAATAATTGATTTCTTTCGACTAATTTTATGCAAATTCTAATCTAAATAATTGAATTCATGAGAAATTTTTATTAGTTATGAAAAGAATTGAATTCTTACGAAGATTTTTACAAAAAAATTTTTAAATAATGGAATTCTGTTTGAAAATTTTATGAAAATAGTAGGTATTGTAAATCATTGAATTACGAAAAGTTTTTAAAAAATAATTAAATTTTACAAAGTATTCTATTAAAATTTTTGACAATAATTGAATGTCTGTGTGATATTTTATTAAATTTTTTCAAAATAATTGAATTCCTAAAAAGCATTTTATTAGTTATTAAAATAATTGAATTCTTGCGAACTATTTTATTAGAATTTTTTTAAATAATTGAATTTCCAAGAAGAAATTTATTACATTTAAAAATAATTGAATTCTTGTGATGAATATTGTTATTTATGAAAATATTATTTAAATTTTGCAAAGAATTTTATTAAGATTCCTCAAAATAATAGAATTTTCAAGAATAATTTTTTAATTTATCGACATAATTGAATTTTTTCCAAGAATTTAAAAAAACACTTTTTTAAATAATTGATTTTTTCGAGGAATTGAATTTTTGAGCAATTCCTGTAAAATTGTGTTTAAAGTAATTGAATAGTTGCTGAGAATTGTATTAAAATTCTCAAACATAATTGAATTCCTGAGAAGAATTTTATTATTTATGAAAATAATTAAATTATTGCGAAAAATTTTATTAAAATGTTTAAATAGAATTGAATTTCTGCGGAAAATTTTGTTATTTTTGAAAATAATTGAATTCTTTATAAAAATTTTATAAACATTGTTTTAAATAATTAATTTTTTCGAAATATAATAAATATTATGAAAATTTTATTTTAAATAATTGAATTCTTGTGGAAAACTTTGTTTGTGAAAATAATTAAATTATTGTGAAGAATTGTATAAAAATTTTGTTAAATAATTGATTTTTTCGAAATTTTTTTGAAAATGCTATTCTAAATTAATTAAATTCCTCTGGAAATTTTATTATTTATGAAAATAATTGAATTTTGGATGAATTTTATATCATTTTTTTTTTAAATAATTGAATTCTTTTGGCAAATTTTTTGAAACTATATATTGAAAATAATTGAATTTCGATTATTTTTTGAAAATAATTGAATCGTTTTAAAAAATTCGATTATAATGTTTGAGAAAGTTTTTTAATTTCTAGTATTAGCGAATTTACAGTGGTGGAATTTCTAAAAAAAACAGAAATTGTACTATAAATATAAAATAATATAAAATATAAATATAAATATAAAATAAAGTATTTCGAAAATGCAATTGAATCTTAGTCATTTCGGTCATTTCACGAGTTTCAAAAATTATAATTTTTAAATATATGTTTTATCCTGAATCCGTATAAGAATCTTAAATTTTTCCTAACTTCTCCATTTCATTTTTGCGTTACGTAAATACTTATTTAATCCATATACATATAATTATTAAAAATTTAACTTTTAATATCATCAAATAATTACTTCAAGTCTTATAACACAAATAGTCTTAAATTTACAATAAACTGTTTTAATTTCATAAATTGATAAATTACATTTACAAATAACCGGAAAATTATATAAAATTTTTTTAAATTCAAATGGTAAAATATTCATTTGTTTATCATTTGTTTCACATTGCTGAGGTTATACATATGGTGTTAGAAAAACCAAATTGAATGCAAAAGAAAAAATGATTTCTAATTGACTTTGAATTCTTCCTCAAGGAAATTATTGTCCTCGATTCAAGTTTTTATTTGAACTCAAGAACGAGATTTTAGCATCTCTTATTTTTTATATTTCATTCAAAATCATAGATTGTCAAAAATACGATTTTTTCATTTTTAACACTAATTTTCTCAAAAACTCAACGTTTAAAGGGCATTTTTCTTTGAAGATTCGTAATCAGCGTGACAAAAAGTTAAAGTGATCATAATAAGTCTGTATTGCATAATAGTGCTTTGTGTAACACGTGTTTGGCAAAAACGTAATTTTTATTCTATTTTGAAGAATAAATGTAATTTTATGTTGATTTTATAAGTGTTCTAGTTAATAAGTAAACAAAAATACTCACTTGTTTTGAGGGGCACTTTTACAGTACGCAGTATAATGTCCTCCTTCCATGGTCCCATAATGATTAGACATAGCATACAGACTGTAATTATATCCTAAATTATTGGTGTTAATATTCGTGTTTGTATCATTAACAACATAAGGTCTTAAATTGAAATCCGTCAATGGAAAATCAACTTGTGTATTTCTCTTCTCTAACCAACCGTCACTTTCTCCAAAACGATTTAAATGTATAACAACAATTGGCGCTAATTTAATAAAGTCAAATTTTTTCGTCGCCTCTCTTTCAACTTTGCAATGCGGACATTTCCAACCGAAAACTCTCTGTCCGCTGACGTATTTCTTCACACAGTCCTACGAGTTAATGGAAAATTAAATTCAAAATTATTATTTATAAATTATAAATTAATAAATTAACTTGAATATTTTTTTTACTAAATTAATTCTTCATTTTTATAATAGAAAAAAATAATACTCACGTCCAACGTACACTTCGTGGGTGGTAAAGACATTGTTAAATTATTAAACGTCTCGTAAATTACACTATTTTTTCCACACGTGGCACAGGTTATTGTTGATCTGTATTGGCCAAAGAATAAACGAGAAATCATTGATTTTTGTCCATTCATTGCTTTAATCCATTCTTTCTCGGCAGATGTCAAAAGATCGTTAACTATAACTTTATCTTTCTGAAACGAAAAATACATTTAATTAATGTCAATTGAAATATTAATATAAATATAATATAAATTTAAAATATTATATTTCATCATTTATTTATTTATTTAGACTTTGTATTTATTTTTACACGGGAATTTAATTTTTAAATAAAATTCTTCAAAACTTTAATCATTTTCTTTAAAAATAAAAATTTCAATATTATTAAAGTTTTACAACAATTAAAATTTTCAAAGATTTCAATTTTAAATCTTTTGAAGTTTAATTATTTCCAAAAATTCAATTACTGTATCTAAAATTTTAATTGAAATTCAATTAAATCAATTCTTATTAGAAAGTTCAACGAGAATTCAATTATTTAAAAACAAATATTTACTGAATAATTGAATATTTCTTAAAATTGAATTCTTACAAAGAATTATATCAAAATTTTTTAAAGTAATTGATTTCTTTTGAAGAATTTTAACAAAATTTTTAAAAATAATTTCACTTTTCAAATAATTTATTTAAATTTAAGTTTATAGAAATAATTGAAATTAAATTAATTAAACAATTGAATTCTTTTGGGAAATTTTATTAAAATAGAAGATGATAAAAATAATTGAAGTTTGACAAATTTTAAAATTTTCTCGAATTTCTACGAAGAATTTTATTAAATTTTTTTGAAAATAATTGAATTGTTACGAAGAATTTCATTAAAGTTTTTTAAAATAATTAAATTCTTTCATGTAATTTAATTAGAAAAGTATTGAAAATAATTTTTTAATTTTAATAATCAAATTATAACAAAATTTGCTCAAACAATTGAATTCTTTTCAAGAATTTTATTAGTTTTTAAGAATTATTACATTTTTTATTGAGAAATTTATTTAAAATTGGATTAAAAATTATTGAAATCCTGCGATGAGTTTTATTAGTTATGAAAAGAATTGAATTTTTACAATGAATTTCATTAAAATTTTTAAAAATAATTGAATTCCTGAGAAGAATTTTTAATATTTATAAATATAATTAAATTCTAGCAAAGAATTTTTAATATTTATAAATATAATTGAATTCTTACGAAGAATTTTGTTAAATTTTTTTGAAAATAATTGAAATGGAACGAAGAATTTCATTAAAGCTTTTTAAAATAATTAAATTCTTTTAAGAAATTTAATAAGAAAAGCATTGAAAGTAATTATTAAATTTCAATAATCAAATAATTATATCAAAATTTTCTTAAATAATAGAATTCTTTTCAAGAATTTTATCACAGTTTTCAAGAATAATTGTATTTTTTGAGGAATTTATTAAAAATTGCATTAAAAATTATTGAAATCCTACGATGAGTTTTATTTGTTTGAAAATAATTGATTTTTTCGATAAATTTAATGAAAATTGTTTTAAATAATTGAATTCTTGTGAAGATAAACCCACAATTTACTACTTTTTTACAATTCGCTATTATTTGGATAATTTTTTTTTTAGATTTCTGACACTAACAGCTACTTTTTTCTATTTTTGAGAATTTGCACTAGTTTAAATTCGCTTCGTTTAAATTTCGCTTTATTCGTTTAAATAAAAAAATTATTCTCAAAAATTCTAATAAATTCTTAGAAGCTATTCAAAATTTTTTAATAAAATTCTTTGCAAATATTCAATTATTTTCATATATTATAATAAATTAAAAAATTTTTTTTTTAATTTTTTATTAAATTCTTTACAAACATTCAATTATTTTCATAAATAATAAATAAAAAAAAATTTTTTTTTAATTTTAAAATTCTTTGCAAACATTCAATTATTTTCATAAATAATAAATTTATGAAAATAATTGAATGTTTGCAAAGAATATTTTATTAAAAATTTTAGAATTGCTTCTAAGAATTTTATTAAAAATTTTTGAATTATAGCTTCTATAAGAATTTTATTAGGTAGAATTTATGAGAATAATTTTTTTATTCCAACTATTAGCGAATTCAAAGTAGTTCAAATTTTCAAAAATAATAAATATAATAACAAAATAATAAATTTATGAAAATAATTTAATGTTTGCAAAGAATTTTATTAGAATTTTGCAAATTCTCAAAAATAAAAAAAAGTAGCTTTTAGTCTCAAAAATCTAAAAAAAAAGAATGCGAATAGTAGTAAATCGTAAAAAACGTAGTAAATTTAATTTTAGAAGATGAGTACGAAGCCTATTTATTTCAAAATAAAGTGAAAAACTTTTCATATGAAATATAACTTGAATATTCTTGTAAAAATTTACACGAAATTGTCGTATACTTACCCTTTTTAAATCATTATGCATCCACTCCAGTAAAAATGTTAAAAATTCGTGAGAATCCTGTTGCTCATAACTTTCGAATTGTAGCCTATATTGTCCAATGACAACCTAGTAAATAATAATTTTTTTTAAAAAGTAGTAACTAACTATGAAAAAGAACCATTAGTTTTATAATTAATTTTATAAATTTTTACCTAAAAAAAAAATTCATGTGATAATGAATACAAATGTATTTCTACTTCAATAAATAATTTGGAAGTTAAGTAGAAGACATGTGAAAAGAAAAAATATTTAATGAAAATAATACCTTTAAATCACGTGGCGATATACTTTTATATTGACCACGCCAAAGAGCTTTTATTACATGAGCAACTTCTTCAGTCACTTGAGCTTGAGTTCCATTTTCATTACTATTATTAAGATCTTCTACATACGAATTGTCATTAAAGTACTTTGCTAAATTTGCCGTATTACTCAAACACTGAATTATACTATTCATATAACACGAGTTTCCCAAATTTTTCAGTCCTGTGATTCCTGGATGCTGAAAAAAACAAAAAATTTTAATTCCAAATTTACTTAAAATCAAATATGATTCATATTTTTTTTTATAGTTGTAGGTATATTGAGTTTTTAATTAATTTCTTTGGATAAAATGAAAAAATTAATTTCTGAAAATAGTCACATATTTTTTTAACGACATTCAAAAAGAGTAAAATGAATTTATCTTGAAAAACAAAAAATAATCTATGAAATAATGAAAAATAGAGCTAAGTTCATTAAATATATCTTTTTACTAAAATATCAAATACCCAAAATTCAATATTTCCTTAAAAAAAACACTGTTTTCAGTTGAAAAAAATTTTTGATTTATTACCTTTCTGAAATAGCTGATAATATGCCGTGGAATCAATTTCTTTTTAATATAAACCATTTCAAAATACTCAAATGAATTTATTTATTTAAATTTAAAAAAAAAACACTACAAAAACCCTGTGACAAAACTTTTAAAAGTGTTATTCTCGAATTAATTATTATCATAATTTGCTAATTAGGTGAAACAATTGAATTATTTTTTTTTCACTGTGGAATTCATCTTTGTTGCACTTTTCACGATGACATGTGTCAAACACTATTTCGTATAAGAAATATGAAAAATTCATTAGATTATTGTTGATGAGCAGTTCAGTGTGTGAAATGGTATGAATACTCAGCTGGAAGTTAGTATAGTGGCCACTAGAATTAATTGGATTGAGAAACCTAGCAAGTAAACAGTATTTCCGCAGACATGTGCAGATGTTTTTCTATTAGATGCAATTTGCTAAGAAAAACTGCCTCATTTTCACACAAAAATTTTCTAACTATAGTCAATTTTTTCCATTTCCCACCTTTTTACCGAATTGTTTCAGTTTAAGAGTTGAATTAATAATTAATAATTCTTTATATCAAATATTAACTCTGATTTTCTATTTTAAAAATTAATTTTTTTCACATGATTTATAATCTCGAAAATAATTGATTGAATTTCAAGAATTTTTATTTAAAAAATAATTTTTTCTATATTATAAAAATTAATTTTTTTCACAAGCTTTATAATTTCGAAAATTGACAGAATTTTAATTGCAGAAATTCATATTTTTAAAAATGATTGAAATTAAAGAAAAATAATTTTTTATCTCAATATACTAGATACCTGAAGATGCTTTATTATCTGACTTTTAATGAATGATGAAAAATACTGTCTGCTTCATCAATAGATAACACACAAGGTCAAGCAACAATACAGTATACATTGAACACTAGATTTTATATCTTCAGAGATTCATTGCACAATTTTCCACAATATTTCTTATTTTCATTATTAATAATTGTTCTCTTTATTAAAAAAAAAAATGTTTTTAGTCTCTAAAATTAGAACAACTAAATAAAGTTGAGTTTCACTGGACGAGGCTTGAATTAAAGAACAGTTTCCAAACCTAAGTTATATTCTGAAATTATTTTGTCTAGTTCAAAATTCTCTTCTTCATTAACATGTTAGTTATAACCAATCCCATTTTTAATATATTTCACTCATAGCGATTAGTATTGGACTTCATAATAATTTTTCTCTGCACATTATTCAAAACTTTTTTCTTATCAGCACTTCCTTAGTCAAGTGTTAAAATTCTTAACAGTAGCTGATATTTATATACTCACAGGATTACTTTTGTCCACTACACTGAAGATTTTGATTTGCACCATAATTTACAAAAAAAAAAATAATTCAAAAAAAAATAAATAAATAAACGAAAGTTTAGATATTTAGAAAGTTCAAAATTTGATAAGAAACTAGGAAGTTGGATTTATTTCATTTGTTTTTTTTTATTTGTCAATTAAAATTTTGAAATTGATATCCGAATTGCAAGAATGGAGAGCTGCCAGGCAACTGACACGTGATAAGAAAATTATCTCATATTAAACGTAATGTCACGTGAAAATGTATCTACGTATATATTATTATCAGCGCGGATTCTGATTTGTGATAAAGTTTTTGAATTTATTTGCCAACATTTTGGAATTTATAACGCTACAAGCTACAAGTTAATCTGATTTCTATAAGTTCTCATATATAGTATCATTAAAGCTATCACTAAAAATATAATTTCTCATCTAGAATTTAATTTCAGAAAATTTTATTATTATTAAAAAAATTTTTGTAAATAGAAATGATGAATTTTTTTAATGAAAATTATTAATATATTTTGTTTATATTCCACACGATAACTTCAAAGATGACAGAATTTTTAATCTTTTAATGCTATTAACAACTCACGTCAGAGACTGAAAGTAGTCGCGTGTTTGAGTATTAATGTTTCATTGTTAATTCACGATTTGTTAACTAAATTTTGTTAAATACTAAAATCTTGTTAAACAATGCTATGGGTTTTTAAGTTCAAATTGCGTAGGAAACTATAAAATTCGATACGATAGTGAATGCCACCAATTGAGTTTTAGATAATGCGTTAAAGAATTGATAAAAAAAAACCTATTAAATGACTATCTAAATATCATTGACATGAATTAGTTAAAAATTACTCTTAAAGATATTTTCATTTTTAGTTTATTTACTTTATTCGAAAACATTTTTTATACGTTTTAATTTTCATTTTTATCTACATAGGTTCAAAAGTGATAAACAAACATTTACAAACTCTTATTTTTATTGGGAAACATTATTTTTTGTAAATTTAAAAACTCAATATAAATAAAAAAATCTCTACTGTAGAGAAAGAAATTCACTTATTAAGTACATAATATTAAATATTCTTGTTTATTATTATTCAAAAATTTTAATAAAATTTTTCGCAAGAATTTCATTATTCTCATAAATAATAAAATTCTTTTAGGAGCAATTCAATTATTTTTAATACAATTTTAATAAAATGTCTCAAAAGAATACAATTATTTTTAAAAATTCTTCGAAACAATTCAATTATTTTTATGAATTGTAAAATTCTCCGCATGAATTCAATTATTTTCATAAATAAGAAAATTCTTCGCAAGAATTGCAAATATTTTCATAAATAATAAAATTCTATAAAGGAATTCAATTATTTTCATATAAATTAATAATAAAATGTTTCAGAGGAATTCAATTATTTTCAATACATTTTCATTAAATTTCTCGAAAAAATACAATTAATTTTAAAAATATTAATTGAATTCAATTATTTTCAAGAATTTTCATAAAAATTCAATTATTTCCAACAATTCTGATAAAAAATTCTTCGAAACAATTCAAATATTTTTAAAAATTGTAAAATTCTTGGCAAGAATTTTCAATTATTTTTGTAAATAATAAAATTCTTCTGAGAAAATCAATTATTTTTAATACAATTTTAATAAAATTTCTAGGAAAAAATTCAATTCAAGATAATTTTAATAAAATTACTCCAACAGGTTCAATTATTTTTAAAAATTGTAATAAAATTTTTCTAAACAATTCAATAATTGTTCTCAAGAGTTTTTTTATTAAAATTCTTTGCAAATTTCAATTATTTTCGAAATTTTCAATTAAAATTGCTTTAAAAAATTAAATTATTTGTACGAAATTTAATGAAATTTATAAAAAAAAAATGTAATTATTTACAAAAACTAATAAAATTGTTTTAAAAAAATTTAATTTTCTATGAATAATTTTAATTTTTAATAGGAAAATTGTTAATTACAATTAATAATAAACACAATTATTTTAAATATTTAAAAGAAATTCACCATAAAATTCAATTATTTTCAAAATTTTCAGTAAAAATTATTAAAAAAAACTATTATTTTCAAGAAAATTGAAATAAATTCTTCAAAACAATTCAATTATTATTTTAAAGAATTTTAATAAAAATCTTTCCAAGAATTAAATTATTTTCAATACAATTTTAATTACATTTTCTCGAAAGAATTCAATCATTTGAAAAAAATGTTGATAAAATTGTTGAAATGAATTCAATTACCTACATTAAAATTTTTTTTATAAATTCTTTACAAGAATTCAATGATTTTCAGTACATCGAAAATTTCATTATTTATGAAAATAATTGAATTCTTGAATAAAATTTTATTAAAAGTTTTTTAAATAATTGAATCCCTGCAAAAAAATTTATTATTTCTGCAAATAATTAAATTTTTGCAAAGAATTTTACGAAAATTGTGTTTAAAATAAATGAATTCCTGGAAAAAATTTACTATTTATTGATATAATTGAATTCTTACGAAGAATTTAAAAATAATTTAATTTTCCCTAAAATTCAATTAAAATGTTAAGTGTTTAAAATAATTGAATTCCAGCGAATATTTCATTATTTATGAAAATAATTGAATTGTTGAATTGAGTTTCGTTAAAAGGTTTTTAGAAAATTGAACTTCTGTGCAAAATTGAATTATTTTTTAAAATAATTTAATTTTCGCGGAGAATTTTTACAAGATTTTTAAAAATAATTGAAATTTTCGAAGAAATCAATTAAAATTGTATTAAAAATAAGGAAAATCCCGATAAGAATTTTATTGTTTATATAAAAATAATTGAATTCCATTATTTTCAACAATTCTGATAAAAAATTCTTCGAAACAATTCAATTATTTTAAATAATTTTAATAAAAATCTTGATAAGAATCAAATTATTTTCAATACAACTTTAATTATATTTTCTCGAAAGATTCAATTATTGAAAAAAATGTTAATAAAGTTCTGGAAATGAATTCAATTTTTTTTGATAAATACTTTGCAAGAATTCAATGATTTTCAGTAAAATAATTTTAAAATTGAAAACATTTAAAAAGGAAAATTGTTTCAAAAGTTAGGAAACAAAAAAACATACAGCAACGATTATTAATATAGAAGAAGATTTGTTTAATAATAAATAATAATAATTTAAAAAATTATAAACAAAAAATTTACTTTGAAAAAATTACTTTTGTCAAAAATTTGTAAGTGAATATGAATCATTGGAATACTTACTCTCTCCCCTCGATAGACAGGTTCCATTCTATCTTCTCGATCCTTTAAATTCATTGATGATCGCTTAATATTATTATTTACATTTGTAATACGGTTCTCCTTCGTTGCTATACTTGGCTTAGAGGTTCTATCTATTTCTGGCACTTTTTGATCCTCCATCTTGAAATTAAAGACAAATAGATCAACAATTTTTTTTTTGAAATAATTAATATAATTATCGTTATTAAGTGTTTTTTTGTGTATTATTTACCTGGACAAGATTTGGACTAGAGTATGATCGTGTAAGACTGGCATTTGTTGAAGAAGTATCTTTTAATGGTTCCTTTAAAATATCACTTTCGTCAATTTGCGACAAGGAATGTTTTTGTTCTCGTTTCTGCTTAAAGGATCTGTATAAATAGAGTATTAAATAAAAGGTATCCAACATTATAATTATTTTCGTTTAATCTTCACATTCATTTAATTCTTTCTAAACTGCTAACCAACTTCTCTATGTCATTTAGAATCAATGTTCTTAATCAAAAATTTATCAAAACAATTTCGTAAAACCATATATTGTATTTCTGCGTCAATTCTCAAATTCATCACAACAAAATTATGAGAAATTCAAAATAGACATAGTGGGTGTAAAAAATTGTAAAAACAAAATTTAATTTTTCTATCAACAACAGAATAAAATATTTACCAAGGTTTATTAAAAATAAAAATTTTTCTGAAAAGTTATTGCATTTTGATTATTGAAAAAAATAGAAACAAGAAATTTTTTAAATAGTATATTAAAATAATCGGTTTAAATTATACTTCCAGTTTTTATCAACTTTGCTTTTAGAAATCAAAATTAATTTTAAAAATTGTTAAATTTTCAACTATAGATAATTTTTTAACCAAATATCAAAAATAAATTTATAACAATCAAAGTAAATAAATACACAGATTTAGTGTAAAAAAAATAGGATTGTTTATGATCACTGATTAATATTATATAAAAAACAGAAAAATGTAAATAAACTACTGGCAGTAATTGTGAGACTCCTTCTTTTTTTATGACTATTAAATAACTTTAAACTTAAAAATATAACTAAAATTTTTTTCTTTTTATTTTCAAAAGACTGGCAAAATTCTGAAAAAATGAGACCTTTAGGGAAAAAAAAGTTCATTTTTCAATCAGACATTTTTAACAAAAATCTCATTTTTAGTGTTTTGACTAATTTCTTTATACCTTCTGAAAAAATTAAAGTTTCTTAAAGTTCATAGGCTCATTTGAATCGTAATTTTTGTAGAATTGAGATTTTTTTACAAGAATTTATTTACGTGCATTCCTTTACAAAGAGAAAGTCATTAAAGTTGTATCAAGAAAATTCAAAAAATTATTATCGCTACCAAGATGCTAAAAAAGGATTTGTAAAATGCGTTATTTCAAAAAAAAAAAAAAAAAAAAATTAACTTCGAATAAAGTATTGAATTAAATTATAATTTTGATCCTTTTTTCATTCAACTTTCGAGACTTGCATTTTTTGAAGAAATTAGATAAATTCTTGTAAATTCTTGTAATTAAACTTGAGGACCAAAAAAATTCGTTTTAGACACTTTACAAAACTGACAAAAATTCCATCCTATATTTTATTTTCCTCACTTTTTCCTAATTTTCATCAAAAATATTCACTTCCTTCTTATCCTGCTAATAATTTGAATTCCTGCAACGAATTTTATAATTCGTGAAAGAATTTAAAATTATTTACAAAAATAATTGAATTCTTGCGAAGAATTTTATAAAAATATTTAAATAATTGATTTCTTTCGACAAATTTTATGCAAATTATAATTTAAATAATTGATTTCCAAAGAAATTTTAATTATTCATCTTACGAAGATTTTTATAAAAAATTTTTTAAATAATTGAATTCTGTTTGGAAATTTTATGAAAATAGTAGATATTGAAAATCATTGAATTGTGAAAAGTTTTTAAAAATAATTAAATTTTAGAAAGAATTCAATTATATTCTTTAACAATAATTGAATTCTTGGGAACGATTTTATTAGAATTTTTTAAAAAAATTGAATTTCCAAGAAAAAATTTATTACATTTAAAAATAATTGAATTTTCGTGATGAATATTGTTATTTATAAAAATAATTGAATTTTCCAAAGAATTTTATTAAAATGCCTCAAAATAATTAAATTTTCAAGAATAATTTTGTTATTGATCGACATAATTGAATTTTTTCCAAGAATTATTTATGAAGGTAATTGAATTCTTAGGAAGAATTTTATTAAAATCTGAAAGAATAATTGTATTATTTCAAAAAAATTTAATTAAAATTGTATTTAAAATAATTGATTTCTTTCGAACAATTTTATTAAAATATTTTAAAATAATTGAATTCCTGTGAAAAATTCTAATATTTTTGTAAATAATTGAATTGTTCCAAAGAATTTAAAAAAAACAAATTTTTTTAAAATAACTGATATTTTTGAGGAATTGAATTTTTGGAAAGGAATTTTTGAGCAATTCCTGTAAAATTGTGTTTAAAGTAATTGAATTCCCGCGATGAATTTGATTATTTATGAAAATAATTGAATTCTCCAAAGAATTTTATTAAAATGCATCAAAATAATTAAATTTCAAAAATAATTTTGTTATTTAACGACATAATTGAATTCTTTCGAAGAATAATTATTTATGTTGATGATTGAATTCTTAGGAAGAATTTTATTAAAATCTAAAAGAATAATTTAATTATTTTTAAAAAATTGAATTAAAATATTAAAATTGTATTTAAAATAATTGATTTCTTTCGAACAATTTTATAAAAATATTTGAAAATAATTGAATTCCTGTGAAGAATTCTAATATTTTTCTAAATAATTAAATTCTTCCAAAGAATTTTAAAAAACATTTTTTTAAATAATTGATTTTTTCAACGAATTGAATTTTTGGAAAGGAACTTTTTAGCAGTTCCTGTAAAATTGTGTTTCAAGTAATTGAATTCCTGCGATCAATTTTATTGTTTATGAAAATAATTGAATAGTTGCTGAGAATTTTATTAAAATTCTCAAAAATAAATGAATTCCTGAGAAGAATTTTATTATTTACGAAAATAATTGAATTATTACGAAAAATTTTATTAAACTGTTTAAAAAGAATTGAATTTCTCTGAAAAATTTTGTTATTTTTGAAAAGAATTGAATTTCTCTGAAAAATTTTGTTATTTTTGAAAATAATTTAATTCTTTATAAGAATTTTGTAAATATTCTTTTAAATAATTCAGTTTTTCGAAATATAATAAATATTATGGAAATTTTATTTTAAATAATTGAATTCTTGTGGAAAGCTTTTTTTGCGAAAATAATTGAATTTTTCAATTAATTAATTTAAAATAGTATGAAAAATAATTGAAATTCTTCGATGAGTTTGATTATTAATGAAAATAATTGAATTTTTACTTAGAATTTTATCAAAATTTTTTTGTAAAAAATTAAATTTTCATGAAAAATATTATTTTTATTGAAAGTATTTAAATTATTGTGAAGAATTGTATAAAAATGTTGTCAACTAATTGATTTTTTCGAAAATGCTATTCTTAATTAATTGAATTGCTGTGAAAAATTTTATTATTTATGAAAATAATTGAATTTTGAATATTTTTTGAAAATAATTTTTAAAAAAAGAAGAGTTTTAAAGAATTTGATTAAAATTTTTGAGAATAGTTTTTTGATTTCTAGTATTAGGGAATTTAAAGAAGTGAAAATTCTCAAAAAAAACAACAGAAATAGTAGCTTTTAGTGGCTAAAATCTAAAAAAAAGTAGCCAAATAGTAGCAGAACTTAAAAAAAGTAGTAAATAATAGGTTTTAGTAGCTGAGTGCGAAGCCTATTCTTTTGAAAATAAAATGGAAATAAATTTTAAATATAATTTTTTTTAAGTTTTAAGTTATTTAATAGTCATCAAAAAAGTAGGAATCGCACAATTGCTGCCGTTAGTGTAAATAATCCTTTAAAGAAAACATATAAAACTTACTCATGAATCTTCTTTCGTTCAGACGAGATTGATATTTGATTTTGTTCATTTATTAAAAACCGCGATTGTAATTGTTGATTTACAATTTTTAGAGCATCTTCTTTTGAATAGTTCAAGGACTTAAGCTCATTTTCAAGTTTAATGCGTTTTTCGTCCTAAGCAGAAAAATGTATTTATTAGACAAAAATAGTTTTTTTGTCAAACTTGAAACAACAAATCAATATTATTAAACGAAAGTAAAAAAATTTACCAGATTTTTTAATTCATCCTTTTGTAAAAATAATTTATCAGAAATCGTTTTTGTAAGTTGATTATCATTGAGAAGTTTACTTTGAAGCCATTTCTCTTCCAATTGCAAAATAACATTATCCAATTCCTCGTAATTTTTCTTCACGACATAAAGACTTTCCATTAACGAATGAACTTTTGATTGTGTATTTTGTTGCAATGATGAAGAAGGTTTATTGCTTCGATCAAACATTGGTTTTGGAATATCAATTACTTTGGTATTGAGAATATTTGCTTGAATATCCTTTTTCTTAAAATTTACTTTATCACTTATTCCATTTTCAATTCGAAACGAATTTATTGACTTTTGATCGTGCAACGATTCTGAGGATCTCCATTTATTTCCTGAATCGTGGGTTTTATTCATTGGCTGAATGACATTTTCATCGCTATTAATATGATTATTAACTTGACTCTTTCTCAATTGTTTCTTATCCACTAAATTATCTTTTTTATTTGACTTGTACACACTGAGAATATCGTCGTCTATCGATGGGAATTCAAAATTTTCTAAAATTTCATTCAGTGCATTCTCTTCAACATCGGGAGGTTTTACGTCGTGATTTGTTACAAATTGTGGATAACGAGTGAGCCACTCGTTATATCCACCTTGTAAAGTTGATATTCTCTTGTACTTTGCGCCGGGATCCCAATTTTGCAATAAATCCTTCATTGCATTTAAACGGCCATTATCTTTTAAAAATTCTTCAGTGGAATACCAATCCAATAGGACAACAATATCGGAAGATTTACGATTTTCGAATAATTTTTTTGATTCTTTATCTTTGAATAGATTTTCAAAATGTTTGCACAGAATCCTAAAATAGAAGTTGGATTATTTAAATTTTCCCTGTTTTCTAAAAAAAAATAAGAATAAATTCAAATTACGTACCCCTTTTTAATTTCTTCCGAAGGAATATTTATACATTTTTCATTTTGAATATGAGAATTGGTGAAATCATTTTGTGGTCTAACATCAATGAGAAGAATTTTATTGTCTGACGATTTTAATAGTTGATAAAGTTGCATGCACGTTATTTCTTCTGAATCTTCAACGACTGGATCCTCGGGTGGTATTTCAGGTAAAGACAATGGATCGTCAGCATAAGAGTTGATTAAAGAAGACTTTGCGTTCGTATTACCAAGTTCACTATTCAGAGTTTTCGCTTTATTAATTCGTGATGTTAAAAATTCATTTAGTTTTTGTAGTTCATTTTTTATTTCATCCACCTAGAGAAATAAATTAATTTGTTAATTAACTTGAATTTTTTCAGGGTTGCCACAAAAAATTAATTTTTTTTCCCTGACTTTTTTCTGATTTCCAGAAAAAACTCTTCGCAAGAATTCAATTATTTTTATAAGTAATATACAATTTTTCACATCAATGAAATTATTTTTAAAAATTTAATAAAATTCGTTGTAAGAATTCAACTATTATCATAAGTAATAAAATTTTTCCCAGGATTTAAATTATTTAAGAATTCAGTTACATTTCACAAATAATGAAAAAGAAATTTCATTCTTCGTTGAAATTCAAATGTTTTCAAAATCTACTATTTTAATAATATTTCTCAAAAGAATTCAATTATTTAAAATTCGTTACAAGAATTTAATTATTTTCATACATAATTAGATTTTTCACAGGATTTCAATTATTTTAATAGAAATGAAATAAAATTCGTTGCAAGATTTCAATTATTTTTAATACAATTTTAAGTAAATTCTTCGGAAAATGTAATTAATTTCAAAAATTTTATTAAAATTCTTCAATTACTTTTAAATAACTTTTGCAAAAGTTTCTAGAGATTTTTCAAATCCATTTGTTTAAAATTCAATTTTACGAAATTTTCATTATTCGGAAATTATTCAATTAAATATTTAGAAAAACAAATCTTAAAATAATTTTAAAAAAAATTCAATTAAACTTTTTCAAAATACAATTAATTCTAAAAATTCACGCTACAATGCTTTTAAAATTCAATTATTATCTAAAATTTGAACTGAAATTCATTTTAAAATCAATTTTTATTAGAAAATTCTACGAGAATTCAATTATTTAAATACAAAAATGAAAAAATTTTATTGAATAAATGAATGTTTCTCCAAATTGAATTCTCATAAAGAATTTTATTTCTGTAAACTCTTTGTAAAAAAATTTATTATTTATGAAAATAACTGAATTATTGCGAAAAAAATTATAAAAAATTTGTAAATAGTTGAATTCGTGTGAAATTTTTATTATTTATGAAAATAATTTAATTTTGGAGAAGAATTTTATTATTTTTAAAGATAATTGAAATTTTGACGAGAATTTTTTTTGAATTTTTGAACATAATTCTTCTATAAATCCATGATTTTTAATAATTAATTAAATACATATTAAAAAACTAAATAAAACTAATTATGTATCGTTCAAATTAAATTTTTTCCAATAAAAATCCCTGACTAATTCTATTTAAAATTATTTTCATCATTACAATTCAATTATTATTTTCTAGAATTATTAACTGAAATTCTTCATTAAATCAATTATTTTTAATAATTTTTGAAAAAGTTCTTTGACAATTTTCAAATCCATCTGTTCACAATTCAGTTTTACAAAATTTTGATTATTCGGAAATTCTTTAATTAAATATATTTTAGAAACTAAAATCTTGAAATACCTAGTTTCAAAAAAAACTTCAATTAAATCTTTTCAAAAAAATTAATTCCACAAATTTATCCGTTGAAAGTATGAAAAATTCAAATTTTCAAAGATTTTAATCTCAAACGTTTACAAAATTTAATTATTTCTGTAAATTCATGCTATAATGCTTTTAATATTAAATTATTATCTTAAATTTTAAACAAAATTCATTTTGAAATAAATTTTTATTAAAAAATTGTCAAATTTATTTAGTTAAATACAAAAATAAATAATTTATTGAATAGTTGAATGTTTCTTGATTGAATTTTTACGAAGAATTGCATTAACAATTTTTGAAAGTATTTGATTTCTTTTGAGGAATTTAATTAAAATTTTACTAAAATTTATTGAATTAAAGAACTTTATCATAATTTTTGAAAATAATTGAAAACTTTTGAAGAATTTTATTAAAATTTTTAAAAATAATTGAATTCATGAGAAGAATTTAAATAATAATTAATTAAAATAATTGCATTCATGTGAAGAATTTTATTAAAATTTTTTAAAATAATTGACTTCTTGAGAAGAATTTCACTACTAATTTAAAAAAATAACTTAATTCTTGACCAAAATTTTGTAAAAAATTTAAAAATAATTTAATTTCTGTTAAGTATTTTATTATTTTTCAAAAGAATTGAATTCTTGAAATGAATTTTGATATTTATCAAAATAATTAAATTTTAAAAAAGAATTTTATTAAAATTCCTTAAAATAATTGATTTTATGGGAAGAATTTTGTATTGTTTATCAACACAATTGAATTCTTTTGCAGAATTACTTAAAATGTTTTGAAAATAATTGATTTTCTGCGACGAATTAAAAGTTATTTATTATAATTAATTGGATTATTTCAACGAATTTTATTATTTTATTGAATAATTGAATGTTTCTTAAAATTGAATTCTTTCGTCGAGTTTTAATAAAACTTTTAAGAATAATTGCATTTTTCGAGAAATTTATTTAAAATTTGTATAAAAAATATTTGAAATTATGCGATGAAAATAATTGAATTCGTAAATGAAATTTTATTATTTATGAAAATAATTGAATGTTTTCGTAGAATTGTATGAAAAATTTTTTTCAATTATTAAATTTTTTGATAAATTTTTAATGAAATTAGTAAATATTGAAAGTCATTGAATTGCAAAAAAAACTTTTGAAAATAATTAAAATTTTGCAAAGAATTTTATTTAAATTTTTGAAAATAATTGAATTTTTGGTAAAAACTTTTGCTATATTTATAAAAATAATTCAATTCTTGACGAGATATTCGTTAAAATTTTTGAGAATAATTGAATTTCTACGAAGAATTTTACTACTTTTGACAATAATTGAATTCTTGCGATGAATATTCATATATTTATTATGAAAAGAATTGAATTTTGGAAAGAATTTTGTTAAAATCCCTTAAAATAATTGAATTTCAGTGAGGAATTTTGTTATTTATAAAGATAATTGCGTTAAAACTTTTGAAATAATTAAATAATATTAAAAAATGCATTCTTGTTAGAAATAGAAACAAATTTTGAAGGTTTTGTATTAGAATTCTTGGTAGTTTCATAGTTTATGAGGCAAACAAAAAAGACAACAAAAATTCATAATTTTCTTATAAATTCTAAAAATTTAATTTTTTTCCAGTACTTTTAATAAAAATCCTTGACTTTTTCCTAACCAATTCATTCTATTTTCCCTGATTTGTGGCAACCCTATTTTTTTAATTTTGCTACTTGGAAATTTTTAGTAAACTTTTTCTAAAATTACCTCTTTTTCGGATACTAGAAGAGAATATATTCTTTTGCCACTTCTATTCTCAGAGTTTTTTATATGCTCAACACAATTTTGCCATCGTCGAAAATAAATGTATGCCTCTTCTTCTTTATGAGATTTTAATGCTTCTTTTCCTTGATCACGTACTGAGTTTAATTTGCTAAACAAATTTTTAAGTGTGAAACCACTAAGATTCACCTGTGATTTTTTATTGAGATCTTGTATTGATTGAATACGATTTGCACTCTTTGTATTAGCCATAATGTTCAAAGAATATTTCAGGTAACCTTCTTTTTTACTCTCTATTTAATCTGTAAAAAACTTGAAATTTTTAGTTTGTTTAATTTTCAACTCGAAGGCTTATAGAAAATTTTTAATGATAAATTTATAAAATTTTACAGATTTACTGAATTCGAGCTAATTATTTATTACAAAGAAATTACAATAATTCAAGAATAAAAACTTTTAATGTAGAATATTTGAAGGTTATTGATTGCACTTTACATGGTATTGTACAATTAACATTATAACTTTGCAATGCTTTGCAACAAAGTTGAATTATTTTACTTATTTCCGAGATTGTTATTCAATACATAAATAATTTACTTTTAGAATTTTATTAAGTGTGAATACAAGTGAAAAGCGATAAAATATTTAGCGTTAAAAATATTATTCCAAGGACTTGAAGTGTATTGGACACTGAAACCATTATCCCAATACAACAATCCAATTGTACATATTGTACAAGAAAAATAATTGATAATTTAAACTTACCATTTATTGAAAAGAATTAACTTTTACGTAGAATTTTAGAATCGAAGTATATTCTTTAATTAGCTTTTTATCTCTGAATTTTAGATCCAAAGAGAGAAATTTAATCTTCTGTACAAATTTTGATGGAATGTTTTTCGAAACTGATGAAAGATGGATTTAAATGCGTTACTTTATTATTATTATGAAGTCACCAGCTTCACAAATTGTATCTCACATCATATTTTTTGGAAATAAAACATCTACTTCTAGAATGATAAACGTACCATTCTATACAGGTTAGCTGTCAAAAGTGACTTGAGCGACATTTTATTTTCCAATTTCCACTCACAAGTCACAACTACGACTGCGCTCCGCAAAACTTTTCAAACACTACACGTGGGGAAAAGGGGAAATTATTAAATTTTCTTATTTTTTCATACAAAATACTTGTAATTAATTATTGGACACTTGCCTATTAACGAAAGGAAATTTGCATTCATATGTGTGTGAGTGAATGAGATATTTTAATTTACCTTTGGACGTAAAAGTTGTTGAAAAATAATAGTGAGTTTTTAGGTTAACTCAATTTTATAAGGGCGATTATAATTTTTGTTTGTTATTTTACAACAAAGTCAAGTAACATTTTCATTTAAAATGGTAGTTTTCACTTGTAATAATTGCGGCGAGTGTTTACAAAAGCCTAAAGTTGCAAAACACTTTCAATTTCATTCTCGTTGCACTCCAATTTTTCTCACGTGTGTCGATTGCCACAAGGATTTTCGGTAAGATTTAGATTTTTTTATTATTTAAAATTTTTAATTATTAAAAAAGTTGATAGAGAAACTTATTTTAATGTACAATTAAATTTTCTAAATACAAATATTTAATTGCGGGGTTGCTACAGGTCAGGGAAAAATTGGCAAGGAAAAAGTCAGGGATTTTTATAAAAAGTACTGGAAAAATTTTAATTTTTAGAATTCTTAAAAAAATTCGGAATTTTAGTGTCTTTTTTGTTTTCCTCATAAACTATAAAATTAGGACGAATTCTAATACAAAACTTTCAATTTTTTCTTTTTCTGACAATAATTTATTTTTAAATAACTTAATTCTTAAAGAACTTTCATAAAATTACTTGTAAATTATTTAATGAATAATTTTACTTAAATATTTCAAAATTAATTGAATTTTAAAAGAGTTGCGTTTACAATTTTTATAAATAGTCATAGATGAACTTCAAAAGGATTTGAAATTTTATAAAATTTCAATTTTGAATGAATTTAATAATTATAGAAATTTTAAAGAACTTAGATTTTTGAATAATTTTAATAATTAAAATTCTTCTGAAATTATTTCAATTTTTTAATATATGTTAAATTAATTATTAAAAATAATTGATTAAAAAAAGAATTTTCGGTAAAAATACTAGGAAATACTAATTGAATTGAAATGATGAAAATAATTTTGAAGGAGTTACAGTAAGAATATTCTTTTATTATAAAACAATGATTTTATCACTCGGTCATTTTTAATTATTATAAGTTTTCAAATTTTAAAAAAGGTTTGAATTTGAAATTTTTGAAAATATTAATTCCTATGGGAAAATATTAATGATTAAATAATTATTTAAAAATCAGAATTTTATCTTCAGGGAGAAAATCAAAATTTTGTCTGGAATAATCAGGGAAAAGTTAGGGAAAAACAAAATTAAATTTTTGTAGCAACCCCGAATTGTTCATGTTTCTATTAAAATTTGTTTATGAATGTTTTTGAATAAAATAATAATTAAATTTTTCAGAGGCGATGAATACGTTAAACATACAAAATGCATAACAGAAAACGAAAGATATGGTGGCAAAGGATTTCAATTAAAAGCAAGTGCCAATAAAGGAGAGCGTAAGCAACAAGAATGGATCAATGTTGTTCAAAATTTACTAAATTCTTCGACAGATTTATCAGCACCTGAAAGAAATATTTTAAATACTCTATCCAGACATGAAAACATTCCAAGAAAGAAAGCAAAGTTTCTTAATTTCATTCGCAGTGTATTTGGAAATAGAGTAAATATGACTGTTATTGAATCTCTATGGACGAAAATGGAAGAATCGTTTAAAGAATCAACACCCAACAATCAATTATCTGAAAATGACTCCAGTAAGTTATTAATTATTTTCAAATCTATTTACAGGCCTCGGATCGACTTTAACTCTGCAAAAATGTCGCTTTAGTCGATTAAAAATGGAAAAAAGCCGACAAAGTGGTTTATTTAATTCAGTTTTGTCACAAAAATTTCCAAAAGTTCTTCGAGAATTCAATTACTTAAATACAAAAATTCATTTTTTATAATAATTAAAACTGTCCATTTTTCTTTTTATTTCAAAAATTTTAATAAAAAAATTCTCAATATTAATTTTTTAAAAATATTTAAAAATAATGTTTGAAAGACAATAGTTTTACAATTATATACAATTAAAAAATATCCAAAAAAATCAAATTTGGTAATATCTTTTAAAAAATAATTGAAATTTGGTAAAATTTTTGAAAAATAATTGACATTTGAATAAATTCTTTGAAAAATAATAATTTAAATTTGATAAAGTTCAATTTATTACCTACTATATTATGAAAATTACATAATTTTTTGTTTTCAAATATGAATTTTTTGCAAAACTTCAATTATTTTTAAACAAAATTTTAATAAAATTTTACGAATGAATACAATTATTTTTTGAAATTTTAATAAATCCTTCAAAACAATTCAATTATTTTTTTAAATAGTAAAATCTTGGCAAAATTTCAATTTTATTTTCAAACAAATTTCACGAAAGAATTAAATTTTTTTTCTTAATTCGTTATAAAATCTTTCCAAAAATCCAATTATTTTCAATTATTTTCTAAAATTTTAATAAATCCTTCAAATAATTCAATTATATTTATAAATAATAAAATCCTTTGTAAAATTCAAATATTTTTAAAAAAATTACACAAAAGAATTCAATAAATAGGTAATGTTAAATTTCAATTTTTTTCAAACACGATTATTTTAAAAACTTGAAAGAAATTGTTCATAAAATTCAATTATTTTCAAAATTTTTAATTAAAGTTATTAAAACCCCATTATTTAAAAAAAAATTTTAAGAAATTCTTTAAAAAGAATTTAATTAGAATTTTCAAAAATTTTAACAAAATTCTTCGCAAGAATTCAATTATATTATTTATATTATATAATATATTATATTGAGGAAGCTAAATGATCATGAAATAAACAACTTATTTTATAAATATTTAATGTAATTTTTCGAATATAATTGAATTTATTAAACGAAGTTTTGTATAATTTAAAAAAACTAATTAATTTTTTGAAGAATATTAATTACAAATTTTGAATATGATTATTTTCTCCAAATTTTTTTTTAATTATTATATAAATATTATTATTATAAATTATTTTTTTTTTGTATGGATTTGAATTTTCGGAAATATGTAATCGAAAATATTGAAAATAATTGAATTTCAATAATTAGAATGAAAAAATTCTGAGAATTACTTTTTTCAAAAATATTTTAATATAATTTTTAAAAACTAATTTTCATTAATTTTAATTTTTATTAAATTTACACTTGAAGATTTTTCATTAAAATTTTTGAGAATTAAATTATTTGCAAAATTTTGCAATGTGAAATTCTTCAAAAGTTGATTTTTCAAAATTTATATAATAAAATACTTGAAAAGAAATCAATCATTTTCAATTGAATTTTACAAAATTTCAATTATTCAAAAGCTTTTTAATTGTATATTTCGAAAATTTCTTTAGAAAAATTATTCAAAAATAACTTTTCAAAGATTTGTCTATTTTACTTTTCACACTAATCAAAATCGAAATAAGTTGCATTTTATACGAAAAAATGTGGTGTTTTGTCGCAAAATTTGTAAAAAAGTCGAAAAAGTCGCATTTTTAAATATAAGTCGATAAAAGTCGCATTATTTGAAATTGTCGAAAAAAGTCGAAAAAGTACTGTATTTATAAAATTTTCATAAACTAATGATTCTTTTTTAATTAAAGATCCTAAAAATGGGAAAGCAGAACAACCAGAGGACAACGTTTCAGAGAATCAAAATAATGAAAATGCAGTTAAAGAAAATGGAAATTCTGCGAAACATAATGAATCTGAAAAGGAAGGAAAAAAGAAGAAATCTAAGAAAAGGGCTTTGCAAACTACTGAGACTCAAGATGTAGAAGAGGAAGAAGAAAATGAGAAAATGATTAAAAAAAGACTGAAAACCGATTTGAAGGAAACGATTGACAAAATTGACAAATCACAGGAAGAAGAAACTACCAAGTTTTCTTGGAAAAATACTATAATCGAGATTGTTTCAACAAAGGGAGAAATGTCAATGAAGAAGTTAAGAAAAAAAGTCATAGCCCGTTATATGGAACATTCAAATAACTCCAATAGTGAAAAAGCAACTCTCAAGTTTGATAAGAAAATTAAAAAAGTAAGTGAAATTAGTATCAATGACGAGAAAGTGACTTTAACGTAAATTCGCCCAATTTAGATTCTGTTGAAAAATGAAACACTTTTTGTATCTTAATTGCTTGAAAGCAGCAATTTATTAATAAAATTGTTTGATATAAAAATTAATTCCTTTGTTTTCTTTTTGAATTTGGCGCCTTAAATAGCAGACAACAACTGTCAACGTAAAATTCAAAATGGCGACAAAACGTTGGTGGTGGTGGTCCGTTAATGTTCCTGTTAACCGATTTGTTTAATCCTTTAGCGAATGTATAAAGAAATTAACAATGTCTATAGTGTAATGAAAAATTAAAAAGTACAGTTTCATTTATTATTGAAGAATTGAAGATTAATTTCCAACAATGAAAAGTGCAATGTCGATGTGTCTGGTAAATTTTTTCTCGAACAATTGCAAGTGCTGTGTGTCATCTTGCACTCCTTTTTAAAACTGAAACGAAATAAGTGTTGTAAGATTACTGCCACACCTTCACATTTTTCACGTATGCGTAGGCATGCAATGTTTTTGCAAGGATTCACTGTAGAAAGCTTTTTCTGCAGAACAAGTTCTTCGTGACGAGTTGTGGGTGCCGAGAGAAACAGAGTCACCGCTGATGATCGATTTTAAGAGGACTTTATAGAGAGAAACTAGGCAAGTGCATTAGATTTTTCACATTCTTGATAATCAGCTGTCACTTTCGCAGCTTCTTTGTCATTATTTCAAAACAAATGCTTTAAAAACACACTTTTGTGTCCACTTCAAAGTTTCGAACAATAAAATCAATTTTTTTTAATTTTTTAATTTCCGTTTTATAAATTCTTTTCATTACTTTATAATATTTAATGGAATATCGTATTATGTAAGTTAATAAATAAATTGTTATTCTATACTTTTGATGTTGCGGGGAAAAATTAAATTATTTCAATTTTTTTTCTTTCGTTATTTCTATCTTTTGTTACAAACTATGTTTAGAATAATAGAATAAAAGAAAAATCAGTTTTTCAAAATTTACAGTTTTTTTATTTATTTATAAATTTTTTCTATAATTTTCCTTTTTTTTGTATTCAAATACTTTTGTCTAAGGTAAATGAAAGTTTATGGAATATAGCGTGCTCCAAGATTTAAACGAGCGAAAGTTTAATCACCTCAATGAAATAAAATTAAAAACTCATTTCTAATTGCTTCAATACATTTGAGATTTATTGGCAGATTCTACTTAGATAATTCATAAGGTAACAGCAGTTTAAAAGTAAAAGTTAATCTTTATTCATTCTTTTTAATTCTCTATAAAAAAACAATTTATATAATTTGTAAATTGTATATAAACGATATAAACGATGAATGACAAATAAAGTGAGTAAATTTAACAAAATTCCCCACTGAAATTCATTTATTTTAAGGAATTTTAACAAAATTCTTTGCAAAATTCAATTATTTTCATAATAAATAACAATATTGATAATAAGAATTCAATTATTTTCAAAAGTAATAAAATTCATAACAAGAATTCAATTATTTTCATAATAAATAACAAAATTCATAAAAAAAATTCAATTATTTTCAAAAATTTTAACGAATATCTCGTCAAGAATTCAATTATCTTTATAAATAGAAAAATTTGTCACCAAAAAGTCAATTATTTTCAAAAGTTTTTCGTAATTAAATGACTTTCAATACCTATTTACTATTTTCATAAAATTTATCAAAAAATTTAATTATTGAAAAAAACTTTTGATACAATTCTACGAAAACATTCAATTATTTTTATAAATAATAAAATTTCTTTTAGGAATTCAATTATTTTCCTTCGCAGAATTTCAAATATTTTTTTAATAAAATTTTTAATGAATTCCTCGAAAGATAAAATTATTCTTCAAAAATTTTAGTAAAATTTGACGAAATAATTCGATTTTAAGAAACATTTAATTATTCAATAAAAAAATAAAATTCGTTGAAATAATTTAATTAATTATAATAAATAACTTTTAATTCGTCGCAGAAAATCAATTATTTTCAAAAATTTTTAAGTAATTCTTTAAAAGAATTCAATTATCTTAATAAACAATGTGAAATTCTTGCCATAAAATCAATTATTTTAAGGAATTTTAATAAAATTCTTTTCTAAAATTAAATTATTTTGATAAATATCAAAATTCTTGACAAGAATTAAATTCTTTTGAAAAGAAAAAAAATACTTTGCAGAAATTAAATTATTTTCAAAAATTTTAATAAAATTCTTGGCAAATCTTCAATTATTTAAACGAAATTTAATTAAATTCTTTGCATGAATGCAAATTATTTTCATAAATTATTATTTAAATTCTTCTAATGAATTCAATTATTTTTAAAAATTTTAATATATTTTAATTTTCTTTAATACATTTGAGATTTATTGGCAGATTCTACTTCGATAATTCTTATGAATTATCGAAGTAAAAAAAAAAGTAAAAGTAAAAGTTAATCTTTATACATTTTTTTAACACAAAAACAGTTTATATAATTTGTAAATTATATATAAACGAATAAGAAATAAAGTTCCATATATAGAAAAGAAATTGATTAATTATAAAGTATTTAATATTATCAAAACTATTGCTTTTTTGAACCTTTTGTGTTCATTTAATTTTACGAACTTTATAATTCATTAGCTTTTGAAAACTAATTATCAATTTGTATTATTAAGTACCTATTTTAGATTCGATTATTATTTTAATAAGCTCTTCAAATTTAAATTCCATAAACTTTATAATTTGTTTTGAAATAACTGAAAATAATAATTTAGATTTTAAGTGGAAAATTTAATTATTATATAATAAACTAAAGTAAATTTACATTTCAGGTTTTAAAATAATAAAGAATAAATAGAAAGATGGTAAGAAGACGAAGAAGAAGAAATCACTGGTGAAAATAGTCCATTTATTTGAAACAATATTTAGAATCATGCTGCAAGCGGTTCGAATGTTAACAGAATTGGCTCGACCATCTGAAGATAGAGAACGTTCAAATGCACGATCGATGGATGGAGCTTCATCATCAACAGATATTGAAAGTATAAAAATTGGTTGAAATGAAACAATTAAATTTAAAAAAGCAAAAAAAAAATATTCGTCTATAAACTTAAGAGAACAAGAAAAAAAGTAAAGTAAAATTCATGAAAATTAGCGTATAATAGGTTTCAGTACGAGGGACTTGTAAATTGATCAAAAAGTAAATTACGTAACATTTTAACGACTCTTATTGCATTCTATGAAACATGAATAGGGGAAACCGAACTTAAAATGGTCAATAAACTTCAATGGAACTAGAATGAAAATGTTATCGTAAAGAAGTAATTTTTTATATAAAACAGGATTGCCACAAGTCAGGTAAAGTAGAATTGGTCAGGGAAAAGTCGGGAATTACTGGAAAAAATTAAATTTTTAGAATTTATAAGAAAATTTTGAATTTTTGTGTCTTTTTTCAAAATCTTTTTCTATTTCTGACAAGAATGAATTTTTTAATATTTTATTTCATTATTTCAAAAGTTTTAATGCAATTATCTTTATAAGTAACAAAATTCCACACTGAAATTCAATTATTTTAAGGTATTTTAACAAAATTCTTTGCAAAATTCAATTCTTTTCATAATAAATATAACAATATTTATCATAAGAATTCAATTATTTTCAAAAGTAGTAAAATTCTTCGTAGAAATTCAATTATTCTCAAAAATTTTAACGAATATTTCGCCAAGAATTGAATTATTTTTATAAATATAGAAAAATTTTTCACCAAAAATTCAATTATTCTGAAAAATTTAAATAAAATTCTTTGCAAAATTTCAATTATTTTCAAAAGTTTTTTTCGCAATTCAATGACTTTCAATATTTACTATTTTCATTAAAAATTTATCAACAAATTTAATTATTGAAAAAAATTTTTGATACAATTCTACGAAAACATTCAATTATTTTCATAAAAAATAATAAAAATTCTTTTTGGAATTTAATTATTTTCATCGCAGAATTTCAAATATTTTTAATACAATTTTAAATAAATTCCTCGAAAAATGCAATTATTCTTAAAAAATTTATTAAAACTCGACGAAAGAATTCAATTTTAAGAAACATTCAATTATTCAATAAAATAATAAAATTCGTTGAAATAATTCAATTAATTATAATAAGTAACTTTTCATTCGTCGCAGAAAATCAATTATTTTCAAAAATTTTTAAGTAATTTTGCAAAAGAAGTCAATTATCTTGATAAACAATTCAAAATTCTTCCCATAAAATAAATTATTATTTTAAGGAATTTTAATAAAATTCTTTTCCAAAATTAAATTATTTTGATAAATATCAAAATTCAGCACAAGAATTCAATTCTTTTGAAAAGTAATAAAATAATTTGCAAAAATTAAATTATTTTTAAAATTTTTGAAAAATTCTCGTCAAGAATTAAGTTATTTTTATAAACAGGTATAGCAAAATTCTTCTCAAGAAGTCAATTATTTAAAAAAATTTTAATCATATTCTTGACAACTCTTAAATTATTTAAACGAAATTTATAAAATTCTTCGCATGAATTGAACATTTAAAGCATTATAGCATGAATTTTTATAAATAATTGAATTTTGAAACAGGTTTCAGATTAAAATTTTGGAAAATTTGAATTTTTCATACTTTTAACTGACAAGTTTGTAGAATTAATTTTTTTGAAAAGGTTTAGTTGAAGTTTTTTTTGAAATTATTTCAAGTTGTTATTTTCTAAATATTTAATTGAAGAATTTCCGAATAATCGAAATTTCGTAAAATTGAATTGTAAACAAATGGATTTGAAAATTCTCAAAGAACTTTTTCAAAAATTATTTAAAATAATTGATATAACGAAGAATTTTAGTTAAAGATTCAAGAAAATAATAATTGAATTGGAATGATGAAAATAATTTGAAAGAAGTAACAGTAACAATATTCTTATAATATAAAATAATGATTTTATCACTCGGTCCTCATTTCAATTAATTTTAATATCTACTATTTTAATAGAATTTTACAAAAGAATTAAATTATTATTTAAACAAAATTTTAATTAAAATCTCACAGTCGAATTCAATTAATTACAAATTTTTTTATAAATTTCTTCGCACCAATTCAATTATTTCTTATTTTTTAAAGAAGTTTCTCGAATGAATTCAATTATATTCAGAGAATTTAAGAAAATAGTTCTGATAAAGTCAAGTATTTGGAAAAATTTAAATAAAATTCTTTAAAAAATTCTATTATTTAAAAAAAGTTTGAAAACATTCTTTACAAGATTTAGTTAATGTAATTGCAATTTTAATATAATTTTCCGATATAATTCAATTGTTTTCAAACATAATTCTTATTAAGAACTCAATTATTTTCACAAATAAAATTGATCAGAGAATACAATTATTTTCGTAAAATATAACACTCTTCCTAGGAATACAATTATTGTGAAAAATGTTAATAAAAATCTTCAAAACAATTCAATTATTTTCGAAAAGGGTAAAATTCTTCTTAGGAATCAATTATTTAAGAAATTTTAATAAAATTCTTCCCAAGAATTCAATTCTTTTTAAAAATAAAATTTTTCACAGGAATTCAATTATTTAAAAAAAATTTAATAAAATTCTTCGTCAGATTTCAATTGTTTTCAATTTTTCAAAGAAATTTCTCTATAGAATTTAATTATTTTCATAAAGTTTTAAAAAATTCCAAGAAATTTAATTATTTAAAAAAATTTGAATAAAATTCTTCATAAGCAATTAATTACACTGTGCGACACATTTTTCTTTCCCGGTTGGCTCTTGTGCTAAATGATAGTACAAATAAACAGTAATTTAACCCTCCAAGGGTTTTTGAAATGTAGCTCAAATTTATTTTTTATAAACCTTTGAACTTATGCTCATTTTTGTGAAATTTTCAAAAATTTTCAATCTTTTGCTGTATTTAAGTAGAAATATGAATTAAGTAATGAGTAAAATATAAGTATCAAATAAATTCTAATTAAAAAGGTGTAATTATAGTACTTAATTGGAAAAGTGATTATAAAAGCTAATTTATCGAATTTTTCTGTACTTTTTTAAAAATTTTTTTATAACCATAATGTAAATAAATAATAATATTTAAATTGTTTAACAATTTTTCCAAGGAAAAAATATTCAAAACTATTTTTTTAAACAATCTATTTTTAAAATTATATATCACAAAAGGTGCAAAATTTTTTTAAAATATCACAAATTGTAACTTGAAATTTAAAATTTCATAAAAATATAAAATGAACTAAGTTTGCAAAATCCTTTTGGAGTTTCATTATTGCATACATCTACTTCAATTTAAGCCTACACTTATTTGGGAAAGAAACAATAAACTAAAAATTGTTGCACAGTGTTATTTTCATAAATAATAATATTTTTCTCCGGAATTCAATTATTCTCACAAACAAAATTCTTCATAGAAATTCAATTCTTTAAAAAAATTTTTAATAAAATTCGTTGCAAGAATTCAATTATTTTCATAAATAACAAAACTTATTGCAGAATTTCAATTATTTTTTATATAATTTTAAATAAAATGATAGAAAATTGCACTTATTCGTAAAATTTTTTTTAAATTCGCCGAAAGAATTCAATTATTAAAAAAAATGTTAATAAAATTTTTCATAAAAATGATTTATTTTTGTATTTAAATAATTGAATTCTCGAAAAATTTTCTAATAACTATTGATTAAAAAATGAATTTCACTTGAAATTGTAAATTATAATTGAATATTAAAAGCATTATAGCGTTAAATTTTAGAAACAATTGAATTTTGAAAAGGGTTCAAATTAAAATCTTTGAAAATTTGAATTTATATGAATTTTCCCAAAATTTTTCACGAAACAATTATTTTAAAATTCTATTTTTGAATTTATAGTTATAATATTATTCTTATGATATAAAATAATAATTTCATCACTCTGTCATCTTAAATTTATTATATAAGTTATTGAATTTCAGAAGGTTGAAATTTGAAAATCTTACTTCCTTCGGAAAAATAATAATGATTAAATATTTATTTAAAAAAAAAGTTATTGATGTTTTCGAAAAATTTTCCAATTAAGCAAATTAGTAAATAAATGTAATAGAACATTTTTTGAGTATCTAATAATTTTTAGAGTGAATCAGAATATTCTTTAGGGTCTGGGAGAAAGTCAAAATTCTGTCTGGAAATCAGGGAAAAGTCTGGGAAAAACAAAGTTAAGTTTTTGTGGCAATCCTGAATAAGTAAAACCTAAGTTGTCAATTGTTTAAAAATTTTCAACTTCAATTAAAAAAAGATCGTAATTTTCCATTTGCTATTTTTTTGTTTATTCAAAAAGAAAATTGAGAATGAATTTAATAAGTTTTTTTTTGTTTCTGATTCTAGGTGACTTGAGAAATATATCTGTTCAATTTCGGGAAATTCACAAGAATGGTTGGTTAAGAAGAACTGACAAAACGGACAAGGAGATATGCAAATTTTGGGTTGCATTTTGCGTTCACGATGATATGGAGCCGCGTCTTGAGGGTTACGTTGATCAGAAGCAAGCTACAACTCATTCACCAATGTGGTCTCATTCACTCAGGAATGTATTGCACTTATCACCGACGCTCTGTGCAACACAGCGTAACGACTATGAATTCTGTGTCAATTTCAATGATGATCGAGTTCTCAGATTGGCAGCGCCCACGTATCAAGCAATGTACGATTGGGTGCAGGCCGTCACTAGAAAGTTAACTGATATGAAAATTCTCCGTCCCAAGGAAAACTTCTACTCCAAAGGTCCAGAAAGAATTGTCACGCGAGATCCCACGAGTCCATTGCCACCTCCTCCTTCCATAATTGGGTAAATTTTCATTCATTCAATGATTATTTATGAAAACTTGCAGGTTTTGCACTCGTTTGCTAAAACCTACTAATTACTACTTTTTTACCATTAGCTACTATTTAGATACTTTTTTTAAATTTGTGAAAAGATAAAGATAAAAAAGATTTTAAAAAAAGATACTTTTTTCCATTTTTTTCAAAATTATAACTATTTTAAAATTTAAATTCGCTAATAGTTGAAGTAAAATAATTATTAATAAATATTCTTCTTAGAGACAATTCAACAATTTTTTGCAAGAATTCAATTATTTTCACAAATAATGAAATCCTTCGCTGAAATTCAAATATTTTCAAAAACTACAATTTTCATAAAGTTTCTCAAAAGAATTCAATTATTTAAAAAAAAAATTAATAAAATACTTTGAAAAAATTCAATTAATATCATTAGTAAAATTTTCACAGAAATTCAATTATTTATATGAAATATATTATAAAAAAAAATTTTTTGAAAGAAATCAATTATTTAAAATTATATATAATAATCGTCGTGATTCCAGATTTCCGAATCTCTGTCCACACTTGAAGTTAGTTATAGTTATTCTTTTGTTTTTTATACGTTTTGATAGAAAATAGAAATATACATATACATATACATACATTATAATAATCGTAAGTTTCCTTCCCGTTAGCAAATTATCTGCATTCATTTGTTTGTTTTGAAAATTTAATTTTGTGGGTTAAGTATTGGCATTTTTTATATATTTTTTAATGTTAAACTTTTTAATGTGGAAAACACTTTACTTATTAAATTGTCTCGACTCTTTGGTAAAAAATCTAAAATTATCGGAAATTATCAAAAATTCAAAAATCCGAATTTCTTAAAATTTAACATTCTTTCCTCTCTTTTATGGGATTTAGCTTCATTATTTTTGTGCTTTTGAAAAATACTTTACTTATTAAATTGTCTCGACTCTTTGGTAAAAAATCTAAAATTATCAAAAATTCAAAAAATTTCAAAAATCCGATTTTCTTAAAATTCAACATTTTTTCTTCTCTTGTATGGGATTTAGCTTCATTATTTTTGTGCTTTTGGAAAATACTTTACTTATTAAATTGTCTCGACTCTTTGGTAAAAAATGTGAAATTATCGAAAATTATCAAAATTTCAAAAATCCGTTTTTCTTAAAATTCAACATTTTTTCCTCTCTTTTATAGGATTTAGCTTCATTATTTTTGTGCTTTTGAAAAATACTTTACTTATTAAATTGTCTCGAATCTTTGGTAAAAAATCTAAAATTAATGAAAATTCGAAAAAATTCAAAAATCCGATTTTCTTAAAATTCAACATTTTTTCCTCTCTTTTATGGGATTTAGCTTTATTATTTTTGTGCTTTTGGAAAATACTTTACTTATTTAATAGTTCGACTCTTTAGTAAAAAATCTAAAATTATCGAAAATTCGAAAAAATTCAAAAACCCGATTTTCTTAAAATTCAACATTTTTTCTACTCTTTTATGGGATTTAGCTTCATTATTTTTGTGCTTTTGGAAAATACTTTACTTATTAAATTGTCTCGACTCTTTGGTAAAAAATCTAAAATTATCGAAAATTCGAAAAAATTCAAAAATCCGAATTTCTTAAAATTCAACATTTTTTCCTCTCTTTTATAGAATTTAGCTTCGTTATTTTTGTGCTTTTGGAAAAAACTTTACTTATTTAATAGTCTCGAATCTTTGGTAAAAAATCAAAAATTATCAAAAATTCGAAAAAATTCAAAAATCCGACTTTCTTAAAATTCAACATTTTTTCCTCTCTTTTATGGGATTTAGCTTCATTATTTTTGTGCTTTTGGAAAATACTTTACTTATTAAATTGTCTCGACTCTTTGGTAAAAAATCTAAAATTATCGAAAATTATCAAAAATTCAAAAATCCGATTTTCTTAAAATTCAACATTTTTTCTTCTCTTCTATGGGATTTAGCTTCATTATTTTTGTGCTTTTGGAAAATACTTTACTTATTAAATTGTCTCGACTCTTTGGTAAAAAATCTAAAATTATCGAAAATTATCAAAAATTCAAAAATCCGATTTTCTTAAAATTCAACATTTTTTCTTCTCTTTTATGGGATTTAGCTTCATTATTTTTGTGCTTTTGGAAAATACTTTACTTATTAAATTGTCTCGACTCTTTGGTAAAAAATCTAAAATTATCGAAAATTATCAAAAATTCAAAAATCCGATTTTCTTAAAATTCAACATTTTTTCCTCTCTTTTATGGGATTTAGCTTTATTATTTTTGTGCTTTTGGAAAATACTTTACTTATTTAATAGTTCGACTCTTTAGTAAAAAATCTAAAATTATCGAAAATTCGAAAAAATTCAAAAACCCGATTTTCTTAAAATTCAACATTTTTTCTACTCTTTTATGGGATTTAGCTTCATTATTTTTGTGCTTTTGGAAAATACTTTACTTATTAAATTGTCTCGACTCTTTGGTAAAAAATCTAAAATTATCGAAAATTCGAAAAAATTCAAAAATCCGAATTTCTTAAAATTCAACATTTTTTCCTCTCTTTTATAGAATTTAGCTTCGTTATTTTTGTGCTTTTGGAAAAAACTTTACTTATTTAATAGTCTCGAATCTTTGGTAAAAAATCAAAAATTATCAAAAATTCGAAAAAATTCAAAAATCCGATTTTCTTAAAATTCAACATTTTTTCTTCTCTTTTATGGGATTTAGCTTCATTATTTTTGTGCTTTTGGAAAATACTTTACTTATTAAATTGTCTCGACTCTTTGGTAAAAAATCTAAAATTATCGAAAATTATCAAAAATTCAAAAATCCGATTTTCTTAAAATTCAACATTTTTTCTTCTCTTTTATGGGATTTAGCTTCATTATTTTTGTGCTTTTGGAAAATACTTTACTTATTAAATTGTCTCGACTCTTTGGTAAAAAATCTAAAATTATCGAAAATTATCAAAAATTCAAAAATCCGAATTTCTTAAAATTTAACATTCTTTCCTCTATTTTATGGGATTTAGCTTCATTATTTTTGTGCTTTTGGAAAATACTTTACTTATTAAATTGTCTCGACTCTTTGGTAAAAAATCTAAAATTATCAAAAATTCGAAAAAATTCAAAAATCCGATTTTCTTAAAATTCAACATTTTTTCTTCTCTTGTATGGGATTTAGCTTCATTATTTTTGTGTTTTTGGAAAATACTTTACTTATTAAATTGTCTCGACTCTTTGGTAAAAAATGTGAAATTATCGAAAATTATCAAAATTTCAAAAATCCGTTTTTCTTAAAATTCAACATTTTTTCTTCTTTTTTATGGGATTTAGCTTCATTATTTTTGTGCTTTTGGAAAATACTTTACTTATTAAATTGTCTCGACTCTTTGGAAAAAAATAAAAAATTATTAAAAATGATCAAAAATCCGAAAAATTGAATTTCTTAAAATTCAACATTTTTTTTCTCTTTTATACCATTTAGCTTTATTATTATTTGAATTTTTATTCAAGAGAAAAAATGGAAAACTGAAAAAATTTAGAAACTTTTAAAAATTACAGGCCTTTTCCATGATTTCCCTGATTTCCAGAAGCCTTTTAAAAATTCCATACCATTTCCATGATTTTCATGATTTCCAGATTCTGTAGGAACCCTGCTTTTGTCTGACTTTCTTCTAAATTATCGAATTCAGTGATTTCTGGGGTGAATTTGGTTAAGTTGTAAATTGATTAATTTCTATTTGAATTCGTTTTTTTTGAATGTAGAAAATGTGATGTTAATTTAATTCTTTTTTCGTTATGCACGGCAAAAAATATTTAGCTGGATGATTTACAGATTTCACTTTAGTAGCGAAATTATTTAGTGCTTCAATTAATACTTTCGTTATTCTCGAGAAACTTATCGCTATTTCAAGTAAAACTTTTTTCAGTGTGTAATAATTATTATTTCTTTAAAAAGTATTTGATTTAAAATTGCTTTATAAAATAAGCAATGCAAAAGCTGACCCAGATACTAATTGTAATTGTTCTAACCATAGTTTAAGTCTAGTAATGTAAATTCTATTTAAATTGAGACCATTGAGTGAAATTATTTGAATTTTAGTTAGTTAAATCTCTTTGTTAGGTTATAATAATTATTTCTTTAAAATTTTTTAAATTGTTTAAAATAAGCAGCCCCATATAACATTCCCGCGCGCTTGCGCGCGGATAGTTTGGCTAGTATTTACATAAAATACTGTGGAAGAAATTAATTATTTTCTAAAATTTTGATAACATTTGTTTACAAGCATTAAATTATTTTCATAAATAATTAAATTCATTGCGAGAATTCAATTATTTTTAATACTGTTTTAATTAAATTATTCGAAGTAATTGAATTATTCTTTTAAATTTTCATAAAATTCTCTAAAAAAATTTAATTATTTATAAAAATTTTAATAAAATCGTTCACAAGAATTAAATTATTTTCATAAATAAAAAAATTCTACACAGAAATTCAATTATTTAAAAAAATTTACTGAAATTCGTTCCAAGAATTCAATTATTTTCATAAATTAAAAAAATTCTTGAAAATTCAATTATTTAAAAAAATTTACTGAAATTCTTTGCAAGAATTCAATTATTTTCATAAATAATACAATTTTTGTTAGGAATTCAATTATTTTTAAATGCAATTACAATAAAATTTCTCAAAAGAATTACATTATTTTAAAAAAAATGTATAAAATTCTTCACAAAAAATTTTTAATTATTTTGTAAAACTTTGATCAAATTCTTTATGAAAATTAAAATATTTTCATATGTTTAATTTTTATTAAGTTTCTCAAATTCACTTTTGTAAATTTTAATAAAATTCTTAGCATGATTTCAATTATTTTGTGCATAATTTATAAAAGTTTATGCAAGTTCAATTATTTTCGAAAATAACAAAATTCTTGTCAAGAATTTAATTATTTTTAAAATTTTTAAATAAAATTGTTCGCAAGAATTCAATTATTTTTACTAACAAAAAAAATTTTTACATGAATTAAATTTTTAGAAATAAAAAATTTTTTCATAGGAATTCAATGATTTAATAGAATTTTTTTACTGAAATTCGTTGCAAGAATTCAATTTTCATAAATAATAAAATTCTTTACAGAAATTAAATGATTTATATAGAAATTAACTGAAATTCGTTCCAAGAATTAAATTTTCAAAAATAAAAAAAATTCTTCACAGAAATTCAATTATTTAAAAGAATTTACTAAAATTCATTGCAAGAATTCAATTATTTTCATAAATAATAAATTTTTTTAAAGGAATTCAATTATTTTTAATTCAATTACAATAATATTTCTCAAAAGAATTCAATTATTTTTCAAAAATCGATAAAATCCTTCGCAAAAAATTTAATTATTTTGTAAAATTTTGATCAAATTTTTTATGAGAATTAAAATATTTTCATACATAATTTTTATTAAATTCCTGAAATTTACTTTTTTAATAAAAAAATCTCAAGATTTCAATTATTTTACATAATTTATAAAATTGTACGCAAGTTCAATTATTTTCAAAAATAATAAAATTCTTGGCAAGATTTTTAATTATTTAAAAAATTTTTAAATAAAATTGTTCGCAAGAATTCAATTATTTTTACAAATAAAAAATTTTTTCACAGGAATTCAATGATTTAAAAAAAATTTTTACTCAAATTCGTTGCAAGAATTGAATTATTTTCAAAAATAATAAAATAATAAGAATAAATTATAAAAATTTTATTAAAATTTTTAGAAAAAAATCAATTATTTTTTTTTTATTTAAATAATTGAATTCTTGTATAACTTTTTAATAAGAATTAGTTGAAAAATGAATTTTAGTTAAAATTTTACATTATAATTTAATATTAAATGCGTTATAGTATAAATTTTTATAAGTAGGTAAATTTAAATTACCTTTACATTATAATATAATTTTAATTCTTGTGAAAAATAAGTAAGTACTTATGTATTTATTGAACAAAAAATATCCAAATATGAATAATTTAATTTAGAAAATTATGAAAAAATTAATCTTTTGAAGAATTTCAATTTTAATTTTTTGAATATAGTGAATTTAAAGTAAAAATTAAAAATATTTAATATTTATGTAAATTTCTAATTAATTGAAAGTTTTTTTAAATTGAATTTAAATAAATTTTATATTTTAAAAAAATTTATATTTTTACTTTTAAAAGTTATTTTGAAATATAATCGAATTTTTGAAGAATTCTAACTAAAATTTTGGAAAATAATTGAATTTCATAAGAATTAAAATTTCAAGTTATTACTAGATTAAGAAAAAAGGTGATTATTTTTTATGGAAATCAGAAAAATACAGAATCAATTTTTTTTTAAATTTTTGTAAATTTATTAAAACGTGTTTTTCAGTCGCTAAATTTAATTTTTGGATAGCTATTTTTTTACTACTTTTTTCATTCTTAAAGCTACTATATTTTTCACTTTTTTAAAATTAATTATTGAGTGCGAAGTCTGAAAATTGAAACTTGATTCAAATTTAATTTTTTAATTTGATTTCAGAACGTCAAATACACAAAGACCAGTAGCATTATCTCCATCATCAGCAAGCGCTGCCAATACTTCTCCGTTTACGAGAGAAACAACTTCAGGAACAACACCGTCTGTTTTCACGTTCGACGATGCAAGCGTTGAGGAACACAGATTGCGGCCAGGAACAACACACACACCGGCGCAAAGAACACCGCCGCCTATTCCAAGTCCTCGAATTCCTCCACCGCCAACACCTTCTCCGTCAATAGCAACAGCAACGGCTACAACAACAACAATAACGACAACAAGTAATGATGACGTTGGTAATTCAAGCTATGAAAGTGTCTTTCTCGCCTCGTCGCATCCTTCCAATGAGGATGCTACACCAACTGCCGTAAATTTAAATTTAACGCGAAATGATGAGTCCAGTGATCGTTATGCTGCTCTCATGGAATACAGAAGTTTAGGAAATACTGAGACTGAAAATCCGTCTGAACAGACGAGAGAAGTTCGGGGAATTACGCCTAATATCCGTAGACAATTAACGCTTAGAGAGCAACAGGTTATGCATCTCAGACGAGAAATGAGTCATCCTGCTGGTGTAAGACTGCAACTGGGAAGACGAGATTGTAAAGATGGAATCGCATTTGTTGATACATTTGGTGCCGTTTGGTGAGGAGAATTAAATTAATTCAGTATAGAAATTTTATTGTTAAAACTTGAAATTAAATTAATTCGTCATTTTTTCTTCCAAGGGAACTTTTTGGTTAAGGATTTCAAAAAAATCGATTTTTCTCTTTTTGCTTTAAAATGTTCCTTTAGTATCATAAAATCAGACCTCGGATATTATAACATTTTCGACTTTTTTCGACTTATTTTCAAAAATTACGAATTTTTCGACTTTTCTTCCGAATATATTGCAATAATTTTTAGTATAAAATGCAACTTATTTTTGAGATTTACAATTGAAAAGAGTTTCAATAAATATTGAAATTTTGTAAAATTTAATTAAAAATAATTGATTTTTTTAAAAGTGTACCTTGGGTTCTTTGAACCCAAGGTCACAATATAAACAGATTTATTTGACAAAAATTAAGATCCTGAAAACATTCTAAGTCGTATTTAAATAATTGAATTCTCTGAGAACTTTCGGAAAATTATTAAAAATATTTGATTTCGAGAAGAAGTTTGATTAAAAATTGTAGAAAATAATTGAATTTTAAGAGAATTAAAGTTGTAATTTTTAGAAGTTATTAAATTTCAGAAGGTTTTAAATAGAAATTTTTAAAATTTTATTCCCGTATAAAAATAAACAAGAAGTATTTTAATATTTATTGAACGAAATTATTCATGTTTTAAATAATTAAATTTAGAAATCAGTGAAAGATTAGAAGAATAAAAAATAAAATTTTTGTAATGACACTGAATTAAATAAACGACTTTTTCGCCTTTTTTCTATTTTAAATCGACTAAAGCGACTTTTTTTGCTCCTTAAAGTCGATCCGAGGTCTGTAAAATTACTGTCCCAAAACATTTTTTAAGAAATATACACAAAAAAAGTTATATAGCAATTTTTATGACCGTTTTGTAATTCACTATCATAATATTACTTAGAAATTATTCAATGAATAATTTTACTTAAAAATTTCAAAAGAGTTGCGTTTACAATCTTCATAAATAGATGCACTTGAAAGATTTCAATTAAAAATTTTAGAAAAAATATCAATTTTTAATGAATTTAAATAGAAATTTTTAGAACAACTGATTACAGAAATTTAATAATTTTCAAAAGCAATAAACTTCTTCGCAAAAAATTTAAAAAAAATTCTCGTCAAAATTTCAATTATCTTTATAAATAATAAAATTCTTCTCCGAAATACAATTATTATCAAAAAATGTAATAAAATTCTTGGCAAAAGACGTGAACTATGTCTTTTCATAATAATTATTAGAATTTTTGTTACAATACCGATATTTTTTATTTTCAGGGTAGCTGGTTGGAAGCAGCGTGAACATCCATTATTGCATAATTTTTTACACGTAGGCGATTTGGTGCTCAGTGTTGCAGGAGTTCCTCCGGCAGGAGCTACAGCCGTTAAAAATATCCTGAAAAATTGTACAACTCCCCGGGTAAGTTATATTAAACATCCTTTTAAATTATTATTGCCTAAAGAAACAAATAATTAAAATCTCTGAAATTCAATTATTTTCAAAAATTTTAATTACATTCTTGTCAAAATTTCAATTATTTTCAAAAATTTTCCTCAATCAATGATTTTTAATATCTACTATTTTAATAAAATTTTCCTAAAGAATTCAATTATTTAAAAAAAAATTTAATAAAATTCTACGCAAACCTTTAATTATTTTCATAAAATAATAAAAATTTTACAGGAATTTAATTATTTAAAATTTTTTATAAATTTCTTCGCAATCATTCAATTATTTTCGGAAATAATAAAATTCTTTTTAGGAATTCAATTATTTTCATAAATAATAAAACTCATTGCAGAATTTCAATTATTTTCAATACAATTTTAATCGAATTCTTGGAAAAATGTAATTATTTCTTAAAAATTTTATTAAAATTCGTCAAAATAATTCAATTGTTTAAAAATTTATTTACAGAATTCCTTATCAGAATTCAATTTTAAGAAACATGAAATTATTTAATAAATTAAAGGAAATGAATTTATCATTCGGCAATTAAATATTAAGGTGAAAGAAGTTAACAACTTCTTTCACCTTAATATAATAATAAATTGTTTTTTTCGTATTTCAATAATGGAATTCTAGTAGAATTTCCTAATAACAATTTATTTAAAAATGGATTTCAGATAAAAACTTAAGTTAAATTGAATATTAAAAGCATTAGAGTGTGAATTTTTAGAAATAATTGAATTTTATAAATGTTTCAAATAAAAATATTAAAAAATCTAAATTTTTCATATTTTTAACTAATAATTCTGTGAAATGTTTAGTTTGAAAAAGTTTAATGGGATTTTTTTGGAATTATTTCAAGTTTTTATTTTCAAATATATAGGTAGGTATATTTAATTGAAGAATTTACGAATAATTGAAATTTTGTTAAATTGACATGTAAACAAATGAATTTGAAAATTCTCAAAGATCGTTTTCAAAAATTATTAAAAATAATGCATTTATAGAAGAAATTTCAGTTAAAAACACGAAAAATAATTTTAATTTTGGAAAAGTTACAAATTTTTCAGAAATTCAATTATTTTCCAAAGTAATAATATTCTTCGCAAAAATTAAATATTGTTAAAAAATAATAAAATTCTTCTTAGGGATTTAATTATTCTAACAAATAAAAAAACTCATCGCAAAATTTTAATAATTTTTAATACAATTTTAATCGAATTTCTCGAAAAATGTAATTATTCTTAAAAATTTTATTAAAATTTGTTGATAGAATTGAATTATTTGAAAATTTTTTGATAACGATTCTTTATGGGAATTGAGTTTTAAGAAACATTCTATTTATTCAATAAATTATTTATTTGCATTTTATTTGTATTTAAATAATTGAATTCTAGTAGAATTTTCTAATAAAAATTGCTTTAAAAATGAAATTGAGTTAAAATTTTAGATAATAATTGAATATTAAAAGCAATATAGCGTGAATTTTTAGAAATAATTGAATTTTGAAATTAATTTTTTTGAAAAAGTTTAATTAAATTTTTTTTATATTATTTGAAGTTTTTATTTTCTAATTATTTAATTGAAGAATTTACGAATAATTGAAATTTCGTAAAATTTAATATTTTAAACAAATGGATTTGAAAATTGTCAAACAACTTTTTCGAAAATTATTAAAAATAATTGATTTAATGAAGAATTTTAGTTAAAAACACTAAAAAAATTAAACTTTTGAGAAATTACAAATTATTGCAGAAATTCAATTATTTTCAAAAGTAATAAAATTCTTCGCAGAAATTCAATATTTATTATGTTAAAAAACTTTTAAAATTCTTCTTAGGGATTCAATTATTTTCACAAATATTAAAACTCATCGCAGAATTTCAATTATTTTTAATACAATTTTAATCGAATTTCTTGAAAAATGTCATTAAAATTTTAAATTTAAAAATGTCAAAAAAATTTTATTAAAATTTGTTGATAAAATTCTTTAAGAGAATTGAATTCTAAGAAACATTCAATTAGTTAACAAATTATTTATGTTTGTATTTAAATAATTGAATTCTTGTAGAATTTTCTATTAAAAATTGATTTAAAAATTAGTTTTAGTTAAAGTTTTAGATAATATAATAATTGAATATTAAAAACAATATAGCGTGAATTTTTAGAAATACATAATTGAATAAACTAATGGATTTGAAAATTGTCAAAGAACTTTTTCGAGAATTGTTATTAATAATTGATTTAAAGAAGAATTTTATTTAGAAATTCCAGAAAATAATAATTGGTATGTTTTTAGGACCTTAATTTTTGTCAAATACTGTTTTTTGATAATGATTTTATCACTTCATCTTTGATTATTATAAAACATGAAGAAATCGATCATTCCGAATCGAAGATTCGGAGTTATCGATATCTTCATGTTTTATAGTTAAGAAAAATTTAATTTATAATTTTAAGTAAAATGTTCTCTTATTTTACTCGGACTGATTATATTTTTTTCAGCAATTGGTCTGTAATTTTTCATTTTTGGTCCGTGAATTTCGTATTTTTAAATACTTTCACTGGTTCGAGTCCTGATTGCAAAAATGATTATTCAAATTCACTATAATAATAGTCATATTGCTGAAAAAAATGTTTAAGCAATAAATGAAAAATGCCATTGTAAAAGAGAAGCAATTTATTGAATCATTGTTCAGAAAGCTTTATCAAAAATAATCACGAAAGTTTTAATTCTAAGATTTTACTCTTCTCACCAAGTATGACTTTCAACGTTGTGAAAATCGTTGAAATTGAAAAGAATACAGCAAAAGGATTACAAAATTATCATAATTTTTAATTTTTGAGTGATTCATGAATTTTTTTAAATTCCAGGTTGAAATGATAGTAAAGCGATTACCACACGCTCGTGCATTAACGCTGACCAGAAGATCGGAGAGCGATGATTTTGGATTAGAAGTAAATGCGAATGAAGTGTCGAGAGTTGGTGGTGTAGCTCTTTCACAAGGACTTCCTTCCTACGTTCCTGCAGCAGATCCTGCAGCGCCTTTAGGTACAACTGTTACTTGGTCTCTCACTGAAGTTAATGGAAGACCGTTGAATATTTTCGAAGGTGGTGCTCAAGAGCGTCTCGGTGCTGTGGGTCGTGATATTTCAGTTGTTTTACAGCCCACGGATCTTGTTTCATCTCTTCGTAAAAGATTACGAGCAATTCGTAATTATAAAAACTTTGTGGTACAGTGAACGATTGTGTGTGTGTGTCATTTCTTTAGAAACAGTGTTTAATGGACTATTAGTGCAACACAAATTTAATGATATTGTTTTGGGCTAAGGAAACTTGTTTTGAATCAAGTTCTCGCGGCTGCCTATTCATTTTCCAATGATCATTACGACGATTGCTCACGATAAGAGGTCTGTTATTTATAATCGTTTAAAGATTTCATTTTGATCTTCAGATTGAAAACAAAAACGTAGTCAAACATTTAGAATATAATTATACTGAATATGACTGAAGTTCTAAACATTCGTACTTTTTTTATGTTAATAGATAAAGAAATAAGAAGAATTAATGTAGATAGAAAGAGTCGCCTGGTTTGGCTTAAATTTCTAAAGATCAAAAAAACATTTGTTCAAATTTCAAAAGTTCGACTAATCAATGTAACGAATAGCCAAAAGTTTAAATGTTCATTTGATCGATTTCTCAAAAGTTCAAATGCTTGTTTGTTCATATAGTTAAAGGTTCGAAAGTTTATTTGTTCGAATGTTCAAAACATTCAAAATTCTAGAGTGTATCGTTAAGAATAGAACGTAAACTCAAAACAATATAAATTTTCGATGTTTTAAACATTCCAGGGTTGCCAAAGGTCAGGGAATTCAGGGAAAAGTCAGGGAAATTAGAATTGATTAAAAAAAATTATGGAAAAGTCAGGGATTAAATGATTAAATTTTTAAAATTCATAAAATTCTGAATTTTTGTATCTTTTTTGTGAATTTAATTAGAAATTTTAAAGAACTTAGATTTTTAAAAATTTTAATAATTCACATTCTTCTTAAATTAGTTCAATTTTTTTAAATATACATTTAATTACTTATTAAAAATAATGGATTTATAGGTGAATTTTTGTTAAAAACAATTAAAAAATTGAATTTTAGAGAAGTTACAAATGAATAAAGAAATTCCATTATATGTTCAAAAATTTTAAAAAATTCTAGTCAAAATTTAAATTAACTTTAAAAATAATAAAATTCTTCTCCGAAATTCAATTATTTTCAAAAACTTGAATAAAATACTTGGCTATTAATTTTAATTATTTTCAAAAAATTTCCTCATTTCGATTATTTTTAATATTTACTATTTTAATAAAATTCTACAAAAGAATTCAATTATTTAAACAAAATTTTAATAAAAATTTGAAAGTAATTCAATTACTTACAAATTTTTTATAAATTTCTTCGCACCAATTCAATTATTTTATATTTTTTTTTAAAGAAGTTTCTCGAAAGAATTTAATTATATTCAGAGAATTTAAGAAAATTGTTCTGATAAAGTCAAGTATTTTGAAAAATTTAAATAAAATTCTTTAAAAAAACTATTATTTAAAAAAATTTTGACAAGATTCTTTACAAGATTTAGTTAATATAATTGCAATTTTAATAAAATTTTCCGATATAATTCAATTATTTTCAATACAATTCTTCTTAAGAATTCAATTATTTTCATAAATATCAAATTTTTTATGGGAATTCAATTATTTAAAAATATTTGAATAAAATTCTTCGCAAAAAATCAATTATTTTCATATATAATAAAATTTTTCTCGAGAATTTAATTATTTTAAAAATTTTTAAAAAGTGCTTTATAAATTTGAAAAATAATAATAAAATTGATCAGAGAATACAATTATTTTCGTAAAATATAAAATTCTTCCTAGGAATACAATTATTGTCAAAAATGTTAGTGAAAATATTCGAAACAATTCAATTATTTTCGTAAAAAATAAAATTCTTCTTAGGAATTCAATTAATTTAAGAAATTTTAATAAAATTCTTCCCAAGAATTCAATTCTTTTCAAAAATAAAATTTTTCACAGGAATTCAATTATTTCAAAAAAAAAAAATAATTCTTCGTCAGATTTCAATTATTTTCAATTTTTCAATAAACTTTCTCTATAAAATGTAATTATTTTCAAAAAGTTTTAAAAAATTCTAAGAAATTTAATTTTTTAAAAAAATTTTGAATAAAATTCTTCACAAGAAATTGATTATTGTCATAAATAATAATATTTTTCTCCGGAATTCAATTGAATTATTTTCGTAAAAAATAAAATTCTTAGAAATTCAATTAGTTAAAAAATTTTTATAAAATTCTTATTTATTCTATAAAAATTCTTCCTAAGAATTCAATTCTTTTCAAAAATAAAATTTTTCACAGAAATTCAATTCATTAAAAAATTTTTTAATAAAATTCGTTGCAAGATTTTAATTATTTTCAATTATTTTTTGAAATTTCTGTATAGAATTTAATTATTTTCAAAAAGTTTTAAAAAATTCTAAGAAATTTAATTATTTAAAAAAATTTGATTAAAATTCTTCACAAGAAATTAATTATTTTTATAAATTATTATTATAATATTTTTCTCCAGAATTTAATTATTTTTACAAATAAAATTCTTCAAAGGAATTAAATTCTTTAAAAAAATTTTTAATAAAATTTGTTGCAAGAATTCAATTATCTTCATAAATAACAAAACTTATCGCAGAATTTAAATTATTTTTTATATAATTTTAAATAAAATTATAGAAAATTGCACTTGTTCGTAATTTTTTTTAAATTTGACGAAAGAATTGAATTATTTAAAATAATTTTGATAAAATTCTTCATAAATATTATGTGATAAACTATTTATTTTTGTATTTAAATATTATTGAATACTCGAAAAATTTTCTAATAAAAATTGATTAAAAAATGAATTTAATTTAAAATTGTAAATTATAATTGAATATTAAAAGCATTATGGCGTTAAATTTTAGAAATAATTGAATTTTGAAAAGACTCTTATTTGTTATTTATTATTAAATCTTAAATTAATTATAAGTTATTGAATTTCAGAAGGTTTAAATTTGGAAATCTTAATTCCTACGGAAAAATAATGATTAAATTTTTATTGAAAAATGAAGTTATTGATGTTTTTAAATAATTTTACAATGAAAGAAATTTGTAAAGAAATGAAATAGAATATTTTTTTTGAATGTCTAATAATTTATGGAGTGAATCAAAATATTCTTCAGGGTCAGGGAAAAAGTCAAAATTTTGTCTGGAAATCAGGGAAAAGTCAGGGAAAAATAAAATAAAATTTTTCTGGCAACCCTGCATTCGAACAAATAAAAATTCGAACTTTTTGAATGTAGGCCAAACTCAGGCAACTAAAAAATGCCAATTCCAGACATAATCAAAAAAAGTGAATAATTTTTTGAAAAATTAGCTTTAAACTAGTTACTTAATTACATTAATAAATAATATTAATATTAATAATAAAAAATAATATTAATAATAATAATGATAATAGAGAACGTTTAGAACTTTGGAAGTATTTGTATTGTTAGAATATAATAATAATTGGAAGGTATCTTCAAAGTCCAAGAAAGCCAAGCATGCCCTGTGATAATGAACGTGTATACATGAATATGTTGCGCTATGTCCAACCCCAGTGACTGAATTTAAGAAGTAATTTCCATGAAAATTTTTACATTTTGTCTGATCTGGAATTCCTGAGATTATTTCGACGGATCTGAACCAGGTTCTTGGACACGCCGTGATATTCAATAGTAATGAGAAGAATTTTAAAAAGTTTCTTCAAATTTATACAAAATAAAAACAATATTATTAATCAAGTGACTTATACACATTAAAAAAAATCTTTTTTAATAAATAAGACGTTGATTAAAATTAATGTCTATTTAATATTATTGAGTTATAATATATCTGTAAATATTACAGTAAATTTGATATTTTATCACTGATATTAATCAGTGTAAAAGTTTATAAATTATATATCGTCACTTTATTCAGCAAACCTCGTAACTACATTTGACTAACTATTTACTACCTTTTTTTTTACAATTTGATACTATTTTGATACTTTTTTCAGATTTCTGACACCAAAAGCAATTTTTTTTCACAAATTAGATTAGTTTAAAACCGTTAATAATTTAAGTAAAGAAAATGTTCTCAAAAATTTTAATAGAATTCTTAGAAGCACTTTAAACAATTTTAATAAAATTCTTTAAAACGAAATTATAAGAAAATTTTTTTGGCAAGAATTCAATTATTTTTACAAATAACGAAATTCTTCGCTAAAATTCAATTATTTTCATTATTTACTATTTTAATAAAATTTTACAAAAGAATTCCATCATTTAAAAAAAAATTTCATAACATTCTTTACCAAAACTTCAATTATTTTCATAAATAAGATTTTCAGAGATTTTCATTCAATTTTTTGAAAATTTAAAATAAATTCACTCAAAAAACGCAATTATTCTTAATTTTTTTTCAATTATTTTTAAAAATTTTGATAATTAAATCCATTATTTATTTTTGTATTAAAATAATTGAATTTTCGTAGAACTTTCTAACCAGAATTTATTTAAAAATGAATTTGAGTCAAAATTTTAGAATTTACACTACCAACTTTAAGTCCACTAATAATTGAAATAAATAAATTATTCTCGAAAATTTTAATAGTATTCTTTGAAACGATTCAATTATTTTCCAAAATTTAAAGAACTTTTTTTTTTGGGAAAAATTCAATTATTTTTCCAAATAATGAAATTCTTCGCTGAAATTCAATTATTATTTTCAATATCTACTATTTTACGAAAATTTCACAAAAGAATTCAATTATTTAAACAAAATTTTAATAAAATTCTTTGCAAAAACTCCAATTATTTTCATAAATAATAACATTTTCACAGATTTTTAATTATTTAAAATATAATTTACATTAAATTTTTAAAAAATTTAAAATAATTCCTCAAAGAATGCAATTAATTATTAAACTTTTAATAAAATACTTTATAAACATTCAATTTTAAGAAATAATTAATTATTCTAATCATTTTTGTGAATAGATTGAAATGAGTTTTTTTAATCGTTAAATTTAATTTTTTGATAGCTACTTTTTACTACTTTTTTAGTCTTAAAACTACTTTTTACTACTTAACTATAGAAAAATCATTCAAAAATTATTTTTTAGTAATTTTTTTAGGATAATTTAATTTTTAATGTTCACCTATAACTAAAATTTTTTTGAATAAATAAAATTTTGTAAAATTTAATTAAAAATAATAAATTTTTTTGAAATCTTTAATTTTTGAATTAAAAATCAACTTTTCAAGAATTTTAATTACAAATTTTTAAAACAATTGAGCTCTCAAAAATTTTATTCAGAAAAATCTTGAAGTGTAAATTTGAAAAAAATGAATCAAAATTAGCTTCTAAAAATTGAGGCTTCCAATCAAAGAACCGGTTATAAGTTTTTGAGACTCAAAATTCTCGACCTCTAAATAAAAAAAGTATTTAAAATTTCAATTTCTTGAAAACATTTCGTATTTGTATAAAGATTACCAAAATGTTTCTCAAAAAATTGGGATTAAAAACAGTTTAATTTTCGACTTACAGGGCAATGATTTTGAGCTTAAAAAAATTATAACCGGTTCTTTGATTGGGACCCTCAATTATACCTACCTTAAAATATTTTTGAAAAAAAGTAAGCCATCAAATTTCTTAAAAGTCAATTATTTTTAATATTTTTAATTGCATATTTCCGAACAATCAAATACATACAAAAAATTACCTATAACATTAAAATTTTTTAGAATTATTTTTAACATTTCGTAGAAAACAATTATTATTTTTAAAATTTTTAAATAAAATTCTTTAAAAAAATAAGTTTTTTAAAATTATACAAAAATTCTTTAAAGAAATTCAATTATTTTCGAAAAATTACATTACAATATTTTTAAAACACTAATTCTGAGAATTTTTTATCATAATTTTTTAGATTTAATTATCTTTGAATAAAGTAAATTAAAATCTTTACAAATTTCCTTTTTTGTATTTTTCAAAAATTCAATTATTTAAAAAAAATTGTACCTTTCAATTATTTTCAAAGAATTTACAAAATTTCAATTCTCTGGAAATCTTTCAATATTGAATAATATTATTATCTTTCAAAAATTAATTTTTAGAATTTCTTTATTATAATTTTTTAAAAATATTATACTCTAATATCTTTTAAAACAACATGCCCGTAGATTCATAAATAAATAAATAAATAATTGAATTTTCAAAATACTTTTGGAAAATTATTATTATTAAAAAAAATAATTGGTTTAGAGATGAAGTTTAGTTCAAAATATGTAGAAAATAATTAAATTTTGGATAATTTTATTTCTTGTGGTAAAACAATTGAAAATTATTTAAATATTTATTCAATAAAATTGTTGAAGTTTTAAATAATTTTAAAACAACACTGAATTAAATGAACGACTTTTTTGTATTTTTAATCGACTAAAGCAACTTTTTTTGCGCCTTAAAGTCGACCTGAGGCCTGTATTTATCAAAAAGTACTTGAGGACAAAGTAGAATAGACTCTTGATGTTATCAATATATTCATTTTTATAAATTCTCCTTAAATTTAAATTTTTTTCTGTAAAAAGAATTTTGTCAAGGAAAATAATTTTAATGTCAGTAAATTATCAGGGAAATTGCTAAACTGAATCTTGTGACCACCCCGATTGTGTCTGAAACATAATTGTTATATTTATTTATTGAAAATGCTACTTTTAACATTAAAAAGTAATTTTTGACCTAAAGTGGTATTATGAAGTTTACGTATTAAGGTGACGATGTGACATTCTTTATCGCTAATTGAGTTAATAGTGAGTATAACTGAGTATAACGCAGTGACTTTGCTGAGTTGTGACAATAAATAAATAGGTGGGTTTATCCATTCGTATAATAATTTGCCGAAGAAATAGATAAAAAGAATACAAGTTTGAGTTATTTATAAACTACCAATCGAGGGATTTCGACGCTGTCTGGAAAGTCGGACTGTTATCAGAATAAAATTGCGAGTACCATTTACGAAATTCTGTAATTGCACGATCTTGTTTTACTAATAATGGAGTTTTCGTGAAGGTTTTGTTGTTCCAGATTTCGATGTCTCGTTGAAACATTAATGTTTCTCCGATTATTACGATTTTCGCATAAGGACCGAGACTTCGCGACGAGTACATGTGATGAGTTATACGTTGCAACATTGGCTCAACTGGAGTTACCGTTTGAAGGATGTACATGGAACCCCAAAAACTATCGAGTTGCAGTTCAACGTATCCTGGACCAATTTGCACCGCCTTTACTGACAATTCTAATAATTTGAATTTCTCGAGCAAAATCAAACTGTGTTTGAGATGAAGAATGGCCTTATGTTTCTGCATCGTTTCGCAACTTTTTTTTCTGTTTATTCCATTCGAAACTGTTCCGTCAGTTTGGGGTATTTCTTGTATTTCTGAATCATTTTTGCATGCCATCCACTTTGCATCAGACCATGAGTGTCTCATCAGACCAGGGAAAATGTTGTTTAGAAACATTGCTGGTCCATGCACTGTATTCAGGTGGGCCACATCAGCACCGTTTTCTGGAATATCCTTGAATATAATTAATTTTTTATTTTATCTATACAATAGATTTTAATTTTTAGGATTTGTATATGAATTGTTTTTATTGAGATACATTAAGATTGTATTTATTTATTATATTTTTTTCTAAATTTTCTTCTGTTTAGATTTACCTGAATGTGACTGTTGACGTAAAATTCATTTTTCCCTTGATACCTCCAAGTACCATTAGAAATTTTTGGGACAGCCTGAGGTCTCCAGTTTGGTTCTTCAGATTCTGCATGGTACCAAACGAAGATCAAATTATTTACCTCGCATGATTCCCAAGTCCTTGTTTTTGCATTGACCGGTACTAAAGTAAGACAATTGTTTTATTAATTATTTATTTTCCTTTTGATGAAATTGATTTAGGCTTAACAAAATTAAGATATTGTTAAAATATTTGTCTGGTCATTTTTTTAACTTATTGAAGACATTAATTTCTTTTGGAAAAACGTGTTTTTCAAATATTCCATGTAAGATGTTTTATTAGTTGAATTAATATTCTTTTAAAAAGTTAGAAGTTAATTCACTATGCAACTCAACTTAAAAAGATGCATTGGATTTCGTATAAATAAAACACATAGATTATTTTACAGATTCTACAAGTATTTATTGAATGTATAATGTAGTACAAAGGCGAAGAGCAACTAACTAACCTGGATCTAAGATCGGTTTTCTATCCTGAGATTTTAGTTTAAAAAAGTGAGGATATAGTTAAATTCGTACGGTTTCAGGTAAAGGGTCCTGGGCCCTAATTACAAATTAGCCCCGACGACCATTACTCTTTTTTAAATTGGGCAACACATAAAACCAATTTTTACGTGTCCCAATTTCTCCAGCCTGTTCGTCTCTTCCGGGTTGGTGGCTACAACCGCGAGCTTCATCCCTCGGCGGTTGGGTCCTAAGACCGTTACTGTCCTGCTTCCTGGCATTCCCATCGCTTCAGACAACACTTGTTGCACCTCGACGTCTTGGGTAAGGCCATCTAAATCACGGATCTCGAGTGTAACTCTTCGATCCAACGACTGTACCTTACCCATGCTTCCAACCGTCTTGGTGACCTCAGCGGTGAAAGCGTCCTTGTCGGAGTCTCCTCTGATCTTAATCAGAAGGTCTCCTTTCTTTTTAGCTTTTGCTGCTACTATTCTCGTATGGCAGTCGTCCGGGTTGACCTCTTTGCGAAGTTTACCCAGAATGTCAGCATACGTTAATCCTTAACAGGCTCGAATTAGAAGTGCGGATTTTTTTACCTCATTCTTTCCAATCGAGGAAAATCTTTGGATCTGCTACTTCCGTTTCCATTGGAGCAGCTTCCTCATTTTTCCTCTTATCGGTTTGGGTTCGAGTCTCCTCTGGACTGTCACTTTCTCTCTTCCGTTACTGAGCATCTCTTATGACGCTTTTAAAGTTGAGTTTCCAATAAGACAAGGTGCGCATCGATGTTCATAGCTATAGGTATACTAAAGTATGCTGTGGTATATCTATAGCTATGAACATCGATGCGCAACTTCTCTCATTGGAGACTCAACTTGAGATTACGCCTATAGAAACGCTCTCTCTCTCTTCCTTACGGACTTTGCGGTTACATTCCGCACCGCTGAGAACGCATGCCAAATCGGAGTCCGACTCATCGGCCACGGCATGCTTTACTTTTGCCTCTTTCAGCAGGACTTCGATGACTTAGAGTCCATCTTTTACCGTCCTGTTGACGTTCCTCTGAATGTCGCAAGACTTTATCATCTTAGCAACCTCCAACTCCATTTTGTCGAGACAAGTCGCCTCCTCCTTTCTGAGCCGCAAGCATATCTCGCGAGTCTCATCTATCGCCTCGTCGTCTACTTCTGAGTGGATAGCGCTATGTGCGATTTTTCCGCTACTGCAACTTGATACACTCAGAAGACTTGAAGCGCTTCGTTTAATTTTTCTTTCTCCTTCCACGATGTTTTTTGTGTCTAACCTTTCCACGACCACCCGTGGCACTGCAAGAAATTGTGCGCCCCTACAATCCGCGTGCACTTGAGCATCAGACCTGGGAGTGATGGTGAGATTTCCCGTTTCCGACCTGCGCACATGGGGTACCTTCTTTGAATTTTGTGAATCCATTTTTTCTAGCTGTTTGGTTGTCCTTTAGTGAAGAGCCCCACCACCACGGCAAGGTCTACCGAACATATCCATGATGCCAGTCGTGTCTGGCAGCGGGCCCACTTCTCCCAGCACATCAAAGACATCAATAATGTTTGGCAGTGGACCCGCTTCTCCCAGCACATCAAAGACATCAATGATGTTCGGCAGTGGACAACCAGCGGCGGAGTCATTAGGGTCATTTGAGATAGGAGTTAAAGGTCTGGAGTCCATAATGGCTTTAATCTGGATTGCAAAAGTATTGAATTCTTCAAATGTGAATAAAGAATTCGTTACTACTCTTTTAACGTGATGTTTAAATGATTTGACACATGCTTCTCAAAGTCCTCTGAAATTATGAAAAACGGATGGAATAAAATGCCAACGCACATATAAATCGCTTGAAAACTTGAAACATTTTGACTGATGCTCATTAGAATTGAACAAAACATAAATTTCTTTAAGTTGGTTGCTCGCACCAACAAAATTAGTCCCATTATCAGAAAAAATGTTAAGAGGTTTTCCTCTGCCTTCTATAAGTCTTTTTAATGCGGCCAGAAATCCTTCGGTAGTCAAATGGCTGACTACTTCTAGATGTACTGCTTTAATTACGAGACAAACAAAGATAGCTACGTATATTTTTACTTTATTGCGATTTCGAAATTTCTTTTCTTTCACGAAAAAGGGTCCGCAATAATCAATACCTACGTTTATGAATAGTCGTGCTTCCGTAATTCTAACCTTCAGTATATTACCCATTATATTCTCAACCTTTGGAGGATTTGTTCAAAAACATCGTACGGATTTACGAATAACCTTTCGTACTGCACTTTGACCATCGACTACCCAATACTTTTGTCTCATGGAATAAAGGGTTGTTTGAATTCCTGAATGATGATTCTTTAAATGGCAATAACGAATAATAAGATCAGTTATCGCAAGAGATTTAGGCATAAGAATAGGATGTTGAACCGCATATATGGCAAGTATGAATTTTTTAACCTTCCACTCACTCTAGGAATATTTTCGTCATATAAAAATTGGACAAGTGCGAGTTGTACTCGCACTGCAATGGCGGGTTCCGTACACAAATATTAAAACATGTAACGATCCATACCGTTTTCTTACTTTTCTTTAAATATGCCATTTTCAGATTGTTTTCCCAATTCACAATTTATCGCGCTAGGTGTTAGCCTAATAGCTACTGCGACCACCGGTCGTTAAAGCAGAGTCTACAATGAGAGAAGGTGCACATCGATGTTCATAGCTATAGATATACCACAGCATGCTTTAGTATACCTATAGCTATGAACACCGATGCGCACCTTCTCTCACATTGGAGACTCAACTTAAAAGAATTATAAATTTGGGTGTCATCGGACCAAAGACGAATGGCCTTATGGTTACGATGACGATTACGTGAAAATTCTCATCAGAGAGAAGCGTGCCTTCGCACACCGAAGAGATCTACGAGATCTCTTTTTGTAATCGTGGAATAACGCGTGTATGTGTGTGTGTGTGTGCATATTGCGCTTCGACGCATAGTTGTAACGCGCTTTATAGATAATTAAATATCTTCTTTTTAATTATTTTTGTTTTATTGTGTTTGTTCCCATCATTAGGAATATCATTTATAGGACAACCTTTGTGCTGCATCATTTGGTAAGTTCGCTTAATCTTCTCTATCTCGTCTATTGGTCTCGTCTTTCAATAATGTTGCAATTGCTCATTTAATTAATACTAAATTGGTAAAATCTACTTTTGATGTGTGAAGATTTCGTTCATTAACCCTTGTGTCGACTGTCGTGAGCCGAACCCTTATCCTTATTCATTTAATTTTCAAAAATATTCAAGTCTCGCGAAGTTTCGCCACAAACAATACTTGCAACATTTATCGGTAATTGGTAGAATTAAAATAAACAATTAAAAAAATATATTAAAATCATTTGATAAAAAAAAAATAACTAAAAAAATTAAAGTCTATTTTTTTTATCAAATGATTTTAATATATTTTTTTAATTGTTTATTTTAATTCTACCAATTACCGATCAATGTTGCAAGTATTGTTTTAATATTTGTATACGGAACCCGCCATTGCAGTGCGAGTACAACTCGCACTTGTCCAATTTTTTTTTTATTTTTAGTTAAGAAATTAATGTCAGAAAACAATCTCTCATTTATTCTCTTAAAATTTCACTCTCTTCTTTAAAATATTTAATGCCACGTGTTTAAACTAAAAAAAATTAAAAAATTTTTTTTTTGATTTTTGTAAAAAAGTTTCTTAAATAAATTTTTTGTCGTCAGACTGTAATAATAGACTAGGATACCAATTTTCAGCTCATTAGGTAAAATAATGTAAAAGTTAGGGAAAAATTTTTTTTTTTAAATTTTTTAGTTTTTTCTTGACAACGCTATGGCCATCATTACATATCAAGTTCTCTATATTTTTCCTGTAATATTCGAGTAAAAATATACCAGCATGCAAAATTTCAGCTCTCCATGTCGAATAGTTTAGAAGTTAAGGGGGGGTAATGGTCACTTTTTATGCATTTTTGGCCAAAAATCTTGTTATTTTCTTGACAACGCTATGCCCATCACGTCTAATCACATTCGCTATATTTTTCCTGTAATCTACGAGTGAAAATACATATCTGGACCAAATTTGAGCTCTTTAGGTCAAATAGTTTAGCCGCTAAGGGGGGGGGGGGCACGATTTGGCTACGGACACAAGAGTCTCCCCAATAGGGTTCCGATGTTACACCGTAGGTGTACGAAACCCTAAAAATGGGTTAAGTGGATGGATTTTTCTTCCCTTGGAAAGTTCTTTTGATTGGGATAATAGTCGAATCTCATTCGCAAAAGATGATGCTTGAATTATTTTAATTATCCTTTTCTCAGCTCGATTTTATTCATCGATATCAAAAAGTTCTGTTTTTTAGATATTTAAATCTCAAACAATACGCTACGACTTTCAATAATAAAGAATAACAAGAAAAGGATAATAAAAATTCAGGCATTTTCTCGCTTAACAAAAGACAAACATTTTTTTCTATTTCAGGAAGTTCGTTCATTCTTTCAAATTGAGATTGTAGCCAAAATTCTTCTTTGGTCTGAAGCCAATTTGGGCCGTTAAACCAAAGATGATTTTTGAGAAAGTCGTACGGTAATTGACCTCGTGATAACGCATCGGCTGGGTTTTATTTCGAAGATATGTGTCTCCATTGCTCTGGTTTCGAATAATTTTGTGTTTCCGAAACACGATTCTCTACAAATGTTTTTAATAAGTGAGGAGACGTTTCAATCCAGTTGAGAGTAATAGTCGAATAAGTCCAGTAAGTGATTGAATCGAATTCTAATTTGCAGTCCTTTTTAAGTTCGTCAGTGATTTTAACCAACAATTGCGCGCCGCATAATTTGAGTTGCGGTGAGGAAACGGTTTTTAACGGGACCACTTGCGATTTTGCATACACTAGTTTGGCAATCATTTTTCCACTTTCGTCAGATGATTTTAAATATACACAAGCACCGTAACCTCTCTCCCCACATAGCACAATCATTTTCTGCAAATTTGCGGCAAGTTTTCAAAGCCAAATTCGAAAACTTGCCTGGCAAATTTGCAGCAAACTTGCGGTAAATACCAAAATGTCCGTTTGGTGGCAAGTTTGCAGAGCAAATTTGCAAAAAATTTGCATGGCAAAGTAAATGTTAAATGCATGCGCAGTAGTATTCCATGACATCTAGAGCTGCGCACTACATTTATGTCACCTTCCCTGTTAGGGAAGGCAACGTTTATCAAAATACTTACATTTTGAATACAAAAAGATTTTTTTTGAAATTTTTAGGTTTTTTGAAAGTTTGCTGCAAATTTTCCTCAAGTTTACTACAAAATTATCTGCAAGTTTGCCACGCAAGTTTTCTGCAAATTTGCTCTGCAAACTTGCCACCAAACGGACATTTTGGTATTTACCGCAAGTTTGCTGCAAATTTGCCAGGCAAGTTTTCAAATTTGGCTTTGAAAACTTGCCGCAAATTTGCAGAAAATTATTGTGCTATGTGGGTCACTAGCGTCTCTGAATCCGCGTAATTCAATTTTTAATAGTAAGAAATTAAAATTCTGGTAACTGATTACAATGCCGAGACCATTAGGTGAAAATATTAGCGGGTACTGATTCATCCCAATGTAATTTTAATTTCAAAAGATCTTGCATTATTTGTTCTGCGAATAAAATTACTGGACCTAAAAGACCTAATCGTCGAACATTTTTGCTATCTCGGAAAGAATGTTCCTTTTCGTATTTACCAAATGTGATTCGATGGGATTAACCTTATATTTAATAACATCGTTTTTTGCGTTCCACGTAATTCCCAAAGTTTTCACCGTTTGTTCTTTTTCAAATTCAACGCACTTATCGTTTTTACTTATGTCGCGAATTATTTCTTCATTATTAGAGGCCCATTGACGAAGGTTAAATCCATCACGACGCATAATCTCAATTATTTCGTTTCGCATTTTAATCGTGTGTGAAATAGTTTCGATACCAGTTAAAACATTATCGACATAAAAGTAAATTTTTAAAATTTCACGTGCTAAAGGAAATTCATCGCCTTCGTCTTCGGCAAGTTGATAAAGACATTAGATTTCTAGAAAAGGGTCCAGAGACAAACCAAATGTGATAGTGTTAAAACACTGTTAAAACGTGTACGTTTTAACAGTATCACCTTCTTTCGATAGAATTTTTTGAAATTTTCGGTCTTATTCGCGAACAAAAATCCGTCGATACATTTTTTCTATATCTGTTATAATGACGTATTTATATTTACGAAAACGAATAATGTGTCCTGCCATTAAAACTTCATTTAATGACATACCAGTCAACGTTATAAACGAACCATCGAATACAACGCGAAATTTTGGTGAAAGACTTAAAATTTTAATCACAGTTTACCACAGATGTGGTAAATAAAATCCGTCATTTGGATCAGCGGAGCCCGTAACTTCAGTCATTTGTCCGGAAGTAATATATTCGTTTATTACTCTTGTGTATTCTTTTGCGAAAGTAGGATCCTTTTCAAATTTATAAATAATAGCTTTTAATCGTTTCAAAGCTCTTGAATATGAATTTCCGAGTTACAAAAGTCTAGAATTAAATAATAACGCTACCTCATTCTCATATTGACCGTTTTGAACGCGTTTTACTGTTTTGCGAAAGAATTCTTCGCATTCAAATTCTTCCTCTGACCAAGTTACATTTTTATTCCCTTCCTCGATTTCCAAAAAGGAGTTAACGTGTCGTGCAAGTTGAAATATATTATTTAATCACTTAATTCTTCACCTTTACTTTTCTTTATAGAATCTAGCTTGAAGGACAATGTTTTGATAGTTGAATTAATATTCTTTTAAAAAGTTAGAAGTTAATCAACCATTCATCTCAACTTAAAAAGATACATCGGATTTCGTATAAATAAAACGCATAGAATATTTTACAGATTCTACAAATATTTATTGAATGTATAATGTAGTACAAAGGCGAAGAGCAACCTGGATCTAAGATCGGTTATGTATCCTGAGATTTTAGTTTAAAAAAGTAGGGATGCAGTGAAAAAAGAGGGAATATAGTTAAATTCGTACAGATTCAGGTAAAGGGTCCTGGGCCCTAATTACAAACAGATGAAAAGTCAGTTAAGTGCAATAAAATTTAGAGTACAATATCTATTGTTGAAAATCGTTTCAAATCTAAACTCATCTGTCTCTTAACGGTGTTCGATGGTCTCTGAAATTTCTAGATTATATTCGACAAACTGCTATCACCCAATAAATACGGCACTGTCTGGTTTAAATGATGTGAAATTGGTAAGCAATCATTTTCGAACGAATTTTTCTCTACACACAAGCACTTTTTGCAAAATCTGCAGGCTAGAGTAATGTAATGCGAATCCTTTTAACAGCTGAGCCTTTACGCTCCCTGCATGTTTCTGCTCTCTAATGGCAAATGGCTGTAACAAACGTCTTGCCGCCTGTCATTACATTACTTTTTTTGCTTTTGCATTTCCCATTTTGCAACCGCATTTCTGCATGGATTAAAAAAATATTTTGGATTTAGGTGGTTGTAAAAGTCATAAATATTTTTGACAAATTTTTACTGGAAAATATCTATTTTAAAACTTTTATATCTCAGAAATTAGAGATGTGCAAAAAGCTCGAAAAGTCGAGCCGAGCCGAGCCGAAATTTTTTCGGGCCGAGCCGAGCCGAGCCCGAGCCGGCTCGATGTATCGAGTACTCGAAATTTTCGAGTACTCGAGTGACTTCGAGTACTCGAAAAATTCGAGTACTCGGGTAAATTCGAGTACTCGATTAAATTCGAGCACTCGAGTGAATTCGAGTACTCGAATTTTTCGAGTACTCGAATGGATTCGAGCTTTTGACTTACTAAAAAAACTATTAATAAGTAAAAAATTTCGAATTTTTTTGAATTACTGAATCAATATTTCTATTTGCTAAATATAATAAATGCGAAAATTCTATGAATTTTCTCTAGAACTCGAATTTACTCAGAGCTCGAAAAAATTCGAGTACTCGAATTCCCTCGAGTGCTCGAAAAATTCGAGTACTCGAATTAACTCGAGTACT